TGTGTGTCTGATTTGGTTTTACTTGGTATGTTCCTAAACTGGGGGAATGTAATAGACAAAAAATGGAAGTGACTTATGATGACGTCATCGCATGACATGTCACGTCATCATATGATATGTCACACAGAGTTGTATTTTAGGCCTATGTCGAAATGCTATATGTCCCATTTGGTTGTAACTTTGTATGTAGATAATCCGGGATGTGTTACAGATGAAAATGAAAGTTATTTCATGATGACGTCACCATTTGACATTTGGCGTCACATTAAGGCGTATTTTTTAAGGCTAATATATTCTAGGTACAGAATTATAGGTCCGATACAGGACCTATAATTCTGTTGTTAGATGATGTTGTAGATGACAGTTAAATTGACGCCATGATGACATCACCGTATGGCACGTGACGTAACATCAAATGTGATTTTCCATGTCTATGCATAATTACTGCATGTTCAATTTGGTTGTAACGTGGTATGTACCGGAACGGGATGTGTTATAGACGAAGACTGAAGTAACGTCTTGATGACTCGACATGTCACGTGACGTCAAATTAAAGGTGCAGTTTCAAAGGCCTATATCTGAAGACCTCGTTATATGCAATTTGTTTATAAAGGTTATATTTTCATGTTCCCCTTATTTTCATGCCTCTTGTCGATAACGCAACATGATGTTGCATTTGAAACAGTGTGCTATTTTCAGAACCATACATCTCATTACTCTATAACTTTCTAATCCACGTGTATGTCATATCAGTGTATAACATGACCTAAACATGCAATAACCAGCAGTCTTTAACACGACTTCAACATGCATTAACAAAATGCCGAAACAGCTTTGTGTTTGTCCACAAACATAAGTCCCTTTGTTAATTGTTTTCTTTGTATAATTTTCAGGTGACATTCAACTTCATTTACTGAGGTGTCTATTTCAGTTTCGGAACGACGTATAAAGGTGGGTGTTTAAGAAATTGTGTTTAAAACTGCACCATTCTTTATCAACATCGTTTCAAACCTGTGAGACATCATGTGAGGAGCAAAGCCAATCTCCTGAGAGATTTTTTTCTTGAACAGAATTGAAAACGTAAAATATTCACAATGTTTTTCATCCTGAATACAAATAGGCTTGTGTATGCTTTTTGGTTGAACTAACAAAAGGCGATGAAAGTCAAGGCGTTATTCTTGAGGTGGGTGTCGCCCACCCTAACGTGAGACAAAGTACATACGCTCCTTTTCCCTCTACAAAAACGTAAATTTCCGTCGATAGTTTCTTGCTTTTTTTATCAAAGCAGACAGAAAAGATCTAATATTATTCTGTCTGCGCTGAGTTGAATGCATATTTTCATTCATTCCCATTTCCCCACTGCTTTTGACCAAAAATAATGCATTCGTCTCTCGTTTGTTCTCTTGCTATTTTAGACATGACTTCCTTTTTGTGATCTAGGTTCTCTGTTTTTTCGGTGTGATATATAGATGAAGTTCTGCGTGACAACAATTCTTTCAATTGCTCTCCTTCTCGGAAACTCTTTCAAACTTCGAGCTTCCGTTACTGGGCCGGTTCCCTCGGATGGTGATGGCCCTGCGTCTCAGATGTGCCACTCCTACTGCCAGGGACCAGCCGCAATACCTGGAATTCCAGGTTTGCCTGGTCATCCAGGCCAGTTAGACCCCGCTGGGTCAAAGGGCGATGCAGGATGTGCAGGTGAAAAGGGTGAGATAGGACCAATCGGTCCCATGGGTGAACGGGGAGCACCTGGTGACGCTGGAATAGGCCTGCCCGGAAAAATAGGTCCAAGAGGTACACCGGGTTTAGTTGGACAAACCGGGGAAACTGGTGTCAAAGGTGAAAAGGGTGAACCTGGGGAGACTGCATACGACTCCAACGAGCGGGTAGCATTCACCGTGACGACCAGCACAGATGTTTCTTCGAGTCATGACACACGTTTGCCCTTCGAGGTTACCAAGACGCTTCTGCTGGGTACCAGTTTTGATCTCGAGACCGGTACATTTAATTGTGCGGTGTTTTCTGTTAACAGATACCCACAACATTTTCTTTTCATCCACAACATTTTCTTTTCATCCACCTTTGGAAAAACAATGACGTGGTTGTCTCAGGCCATAGCTCTATGTCAAATCTTTATGAGCAGGTGTCTGCCAGCGCAGTGGTGATTCTCCAGCAAGGAGACACGGTGTATTTGACAATGAGAGGCAAGTCTTGGAGCAATTCACAGTATCACCCCGCTTCATTTAGTGGATTCCTCCTTTACGCCGAGTAAAATAATAACCTCGTTCATACCTAACCATGCGATACGATTTTGTTACTCCTTTCTAGTTAGCTAAAAAAGACAAAACATTTTATGTCAGTATCTCTAATAATATGTAAAAATGTTTTTAATTCTTGCGGTATTGCATGAAACATTTACACGCATCGTAACCAAAATTTTCTAGCAACTTGCCGTATACATGAGCATTAACAATTCCAAAGGGATATTTGGTTAAAAACGTTTTAACACATGAAGTAATGCAAAAAAGTGATTGTTTACTTAATACAAACCAATAACATCATTTGTAAACCGTTCCTCTTTTTGTGTAAATAATGCTCAAGTAACTGTAATTGTAATAACATGCGTTGCATAATAATGCGTTGGTATCTTTAATGTCAACAAAAGTTTAACAACCTTGTAATGTTGATTTCTACTGTTTACATATTTAAAAAATGTCTAGGAAGTCACAAAAAAAGTTTAAGCATATAAAATTATGTTCTTCATCCAAACTGCAGTGCAAAGAATCATTAAAACGATATTGTATTTTACATTGTGCTCTCTTTTTACGGAAGAATCAATACAATCATCAGTGTTAGGACGGTTCCGGGAGCAACCGCGAGTAATAGGCAGGGCGGTTTCGGGTGCTACTGTGACCAGTGGGTTTAAGGAACAGTCTCCGTTGAGTTGAGTGTTTTCAAAGAAAAAAAATAACCACTATATTTTTGCATGAATTAAATAATCATAAATCATACTTTTATATAAATTTATTATGGTATTTTAATGTCAAGAAACTGTGTCATCACATCGTCAGAAATCTCAATATATTATTGAGCATTTGTCACAGCAAATGTTGGTACACAGTAAATGTTGGTGATTTGTAACACATATGCCCTTAGAAAAAGACCAAAACATGATTATTTTAAAGAAGCTAGTGCATTCCGATATAACTTTTTTGCCACTGGAAAATTGTGCATTTGCTGGACTCCGTGTGTATGCTCTCAATCAATAAGAAATAACTTGTATAAAATAATTATAAAATTAGGGTTAAGACATCAAACCAGAAGAGGGCGGTATGAAAGGCAAGTGATCTTGCTCATAATTCCAGAGAAGTAGGTGTGCCAATGGTATAAAATGCGGCAGAGAGTCACTACTTTGGAGTTTTGAGGGGTAACGTGCAAGGAGTCACTGCCTGTTTTTTTGGACTAGTGGATTCTGACGGATAGCCAATAAATTCACCATGGAGTATCGTTGCATATCAACCAAAACTCATAAGTATTAGCTGAAAGAAAGATTCACCTTTTATTTGTTTCAATCCTAGGATGTCGATGGAAACAAGGATGAATAAATAGGGAATAATGGGTTTTCTGCTTTCTGGCGAAAGTCACCATTATATTATATTTGAATACCCTGATGGTAGTCACTGGACCAGAATATTGATTTAAGGGAAAGTGCATATTAAAAAGAAATGAAAAATAATCAGAATCTGTGTAAAATATGTCGCTAAGTTATTAAAATATGTTACTCATTTCATATTCAAAGTCTATACAAGCTTTTTTGACAAAGTTGACAAGGTATTTAGTAAAAGGAAAACAAAGAATAGCATACATACAAACATCCGGCTGCTAGGACGGTTACTGTTTGAACCAAGTGAAAGGACATTGTGACGTTTAATTTTGAGCCAAACATAACACAACATCCAAGCAATTGGATTAAAATAAGTTGACTTGTTAGTCTATCATCGATAGCCAGGATAATCTTACTCACGTACTTCATAATACGGTACCCTGGCGCACTAAGTCTACATTATTCCAATTTTGATCCCTCGAAATTATTTGTTTCTGAAACATCTGCATTTTTTCTGACATAATTTCTGACCAGATCCCTCTGCACAAGAGCTGACCTGGAATTAAAAATCTAACAAAATAAATAGTAACGCACTGTACCGCTCTGAAATCCCACTCCTATTGGTTGACAAACTTGACCCTAGTCTAATTGTTAACTGAATATTCAGTGCGTAGGAAAACGTCACAAAGTCTACACATAGAATGTCAATATTGGCTGACGATGAGCGTCAAATTGACTTGTTCAGACTTGTTAGCCGTATGACGTCCCTGGCTAGCAAAGATTCAGACCTACGATGTAAATAACTAGTGACACATTCAAATCGAAAATATATATAAAAAAATATATACAATGTATATTAATACAGTTATTAGCTACTATAAGGCGTGAGTAGTTAAATCGACTATTAGATCTACCTCGCTTCATAGCATTGCTCAGCAAGTTATTGTGCGCTGAAGCACAGCATTTTGCATGAATTTTCACAAACAGCTTACAAAACAGTTCTAGTGGCTTTTTTTTACATTAGAGTTTGCATATGTAATACTGCATACAAAATTAGTGGATACGAAAACGTGCTAAAAACAGTAAATGGATCTATAAAATAATAACTAATAAGCAATATCTCGGATTCGTTTTTTTTCTTCTTTTGATCCACCCTGTATAAAGAAATTTAGCCGTGATCCGATTAAGATTTCCTGGATTTATAAAGGTTTGAGGTTTTTTTCTTTTTAATTATTCACTTCCTATTTCTTCACAGCCTAACAAAATTAGTCATGATCTATATTAAGTTGCAACGGTATGTTGTTCAAAGCATATTCTTTATGATTTGTGAATTAAATTGATTACACATGGGACGTATAGTGTCTTAGATTTTTTTAGAATAGCTGTATTTTTTTCTTTAGTTTTCCTCTCTAGAAATCTCGCCTGAAAACGAGTTACCAGAATCCGTTGCAATGCAACTACTCCTGGTGCTTATTTTGGAGAGGACAATATTATCTCCTGGGGTATTAGGGATATCACTACTGGTAGTAAACTTGGTTGTCCTTTTCGCTAAAGGGAAGTTATATGTGTTGCTTCTCCGATACAGACGAACCGGAATGCGCCGCAGGATAGGCAGCCAGGCCTCGCGAACCTCCTTCTGCCTTGCGCAGAACAGAAGAAAGATCAGCAAACCTTGAGCCGAGTTAAAAATGGCAAAAAGCACCTGAAAAGCAAAGGTGGAGGCCCTGATAGCGGACAAGAGTCCGAAGATCCAAGTCAGACCGAGCAGCACTGAGATTGCCACGGCGTTCTGCAGGCGCCGGACCGTCTGCTGGCGTGTGCTTTGACTGCTCACTGACGTAGCCTGGCACGTCAGCTTGCGCATGATCAATGCAAATATGACGAAGTTGAAGAGAAGAACCAAACCGATTGGCAGCAACAGACCAACGTAAAAGGCACTTCCAGGTTTTAAAAAGCAGCTGTCAAATCAAAAGATATATCGTACATTGTATTACTTCACTGTATACCACAACAAAGCATTGTCCCCGTCACATTGAGGCCCGACATCTTCTGTGAAATAAAATGTGTCTCGATGGACATCATTAATACATCCAAAACTGAAACAAACGCACTGTCGTGTTCAAAATAAATAATTACGTTGAGCGTATTTGTTGTGACCAACTTACTGTTTGTTGTCTGAATATTGCGTGTAGTCTGCAGCAAGAATAGTGATGACGACCAGCAGTGGCAACCCTGTATGTCAAATTGGTAAGGAGTGAGTTATTTGAAATAAATTACGTGGTTGGATTTTCATAAACACAGGCCACTGAACTTCCAAAGCAAAAACTCAAGTGCATGATTTTACTATTATCTCTTCTACTGTGATTTGCAGTACGTTTGAAAACTGAATTTTGAGGCAACATGTTATTTTGACACGAACGTACCTTTCATGAATCTTATCTTCAAGCCATTATGATATCGTGTCTCAGAATTCTTAAACAAACATTTTACTGTGTTAATTAAATCTGAAGGGTAGGCCCGCACACATGGCCAAACAAAAAATGTTAACTTACTGGCAATTGAAAATGGGCTTGTTAGAGCCTTTCATTGAATCTCAGCAATGTCCTGCGATTTGTTTTAATTGATCTTTGCGTGCACTTAATGTACAATTCATCAACTTCCTCAACTTTTTGTGTCAATTGGCGAATTAGTCTGTTTATTTAGGCCTCAGCTGTCTTCATGGTTTATGATCGTGTATACTATGTCATAAGCTGCTTACAATATTTTGTTTAGATGGCAAGATGCTTGAACAGTTTTCTTTAAGATAATGCAGAAATCTTACCCCAGCTTGCACAGGAAGCTTTGATCATGAAGTGAGCAACGTTGGCATTCATCACCTTGACCAACATAAGGTATAAGTTGATGGCTTCAACAGCCATCCAGAGCATTGCAGCCAGAGTGAAGTAATGGATGAGGACAGCTACGAAGCCGCATGATACTCCGCAGGGAGATGCCTCAATGCCTGCCAAGAAGAAAACGTACAGTCCCAGCAAAGCGAAGCACAGGCTAAGAAGGATCTGTTGCGGTTGCTTGCTTCGGAATTTCCTGATATAGTGAGAAAAACACACACAACATATTCTGAAAGTTGTAGGAAAGTCGAGCATTAACCTGACTGCGTGCGAGCAGCAAGGACGTTAATTATCTCATGTAACATTTCGTTACAAGAGACACAATTAGTGAAAAACACGCCCAATAGACAATATGTATGCAGCAAGCCACTTTGGGTTTTATACTACAAGGGTTTTGCCTACTTCCTAGACCTATATATATCTAACTTAATAGGCCTACCTTAGTTATTGAGTTTCTTAGGCCGAGTATTTAATGAGCTTACCAAATTCATAGCCATTTCTGCATTGTTCGTTTTCATTTGATCGTTTCCATTGTATTTATTAAGCTGCACACATATTTTTTGTTCACTAGCTCCACTTACTTGAAGGAAAGGTACGTCACCACAGTAGTAATAACTGCCACGATGGACACACCACATATCATTTTACTGATGACGTCAAGCGCGACACTGCTTCTTCCGTAGATATCCTGCCATCAGAATAGCAAAGGAGGATAAGTGACACATCCTGCTTGCTGCAGTTTTGCATTTATCTGACAATTTATGAACAACACATTGATGTTGATCTCACCACAATGACAGCGAAGTTAGTCAAATGATCGCAGATGCAAACAGCTCTACCCTTGCTATCCATCTCCCGCTTGCACCCTTTAGCGGACCAATCTCCGAAACCATTATTCAGGCTGAAATCCCAGTAGACACACTTGGACCTGCATTCATATCCATCCGCTGTCTCGCTTTCACTGTTGACCTGCAAACAATGTATCGGCGAAAATAAAATGGTTAAGGTGGTCCAATGGTTATACAGTGTCCGAATCATGTGCCGAGATACGTAAGTTCGAACCCTGGCAGAGCACATGGTGCTTGTGTTTTAAGGCAAGAAACTGAACTGCAATTGTCTCTCTCCTCCAAAGAGTGTGAAGGTAAAGTCCAGATTGCGTTATTCTCGAGCTGATGTATGAGAAACAAATTGTCTCTTGTCCTGATCACTAGGTGTAATAAACGTGAAGTGCTTTGATGCCCTTGGCATAAAACGCTGTACGCGCAACAAATTAAGAAAAGCTTGGGTACAACCTGCATATCATTTGGTTATCGATGATGGATTGTGGCGATGTGAAATAAACATGCTGTGTCAAGGAAGGATCCAAAGAGGTGTACATATTTGGGTAATATATTTCATGTTGACTGCATGCACCTCATTATCCATCCCATCCCCATTGAAAACCGTGCACCTAAATACCATAGCCAGCCAGTTTGAAAAAAAGGCTAAAACACAAATCACATTGCTTGGCTGCAACTCAGTTATGATTGGTGATGGTGGGTTCTCTATTTTGACTCCTTCCACAGTGGCAGCGATGATGCGACTACCAACAGAACGCCGGAATTCACCGGGGCTTTCATTGGTGCGTAGTGTAGGCGACCGGAACAACTTGCTGTTCTGGTAGACAAATACACTGATGTTAACAGTCTCTCCTGTTTGGAAAACAACATAGTTGTGATTCATGTTTGAAAATAACACAGATGAAATTTAAATCCAAGTAAATTCTTACAAAACAAATTACAAAGTATAATCAACCGCATACATTAAGGGGAGTCAGGTTGGCGCCGTGGTTTTTCTCTCGACTTCCCTCCTGTGGTCTTGGCTCGATTCCTGCCATGCTCCACTTATTGAACTATGTTTTTAGTCCTACTTCATTCCAAAAAATATTCATTCCTTGGGCTTTTCAAAAAATATTCATCGTGGTTCCCCCACGTCTAAAACTGTAATGTAATCATTATTTTCTGTAAAGGTATCTTTAAGCTTGCAAAGTAAGGCATGAAGAACGCCATTGGCAAATCGTCGACTTCATCGAGCGAAATATATAAAAAATAACATTAATAATGTTATTATAGCAATAATATGACCTAGAACGGTGAATTAGGGAGAAAATATTATGTCCACAGACCTGTATACCAACATTTGTCTACATATTACCTTTGACCCAGTGTGATTTGACACTACCCAACTTTCCTTATTTCTAAATGCCTCCTCCTACTATCTAACTTTCTTTCAAACCAGTACAAAAACTCCCCTCTAAAGGGTACTTGTGAACTTAGGGAGACATCGAAATGTCTCCCCAATGTGGCATGTGGGGGGGGGGGGGTACGGTAATTAACTATACAGCGTCTCCCTAAATATACGTATACAGCAGTTGTAGCATGACCAATTTTGAAGGAGTATACCCATTGTCTCTGCTTGAACAGTTTCAGCAGGAAGAAATATAGAAGATTCCGTCTCCAATGACTCATCCTGCTCGTGGCAGATGACGGTATCATTATCCGTTAACACATCGGGCGCATCGTGATCTCGTAGAGTTGCAAACCAGAAACCACTCGGCTTGGAACCTCTGGGTAAGGTCAGTGCAAGAACGGCAACGCTACTCTGAGTCTCGGTGAAGTTAGCATCACTCGTAAGCTGTAAGGCTGTAGTGTATGACTCCAGGGCCTGAACGATCCGTGACGGCGAGGAGTTCTCGTCGATTCGGTCAAAGATGGCCTGGTCTACCTGCAGGATGTTGTTGACTGTAATCACAATGTTGGAAGCAATCTACAACGAAAAGAAAACAACTAAAGTCTTGATTCTCAGTCACTTTGTGATATAGACTTTAGATGAATTTATGTCACATTTCATTCACAAGTGTCAACCTGAACTACGTCCTGAGCTAAAACGATTACCTAACCAATGGAAGCACATACTCTGTTAATGTTCACGCGATTTCATGCTATTGTTTTGCAATTTCTTCTAAAGTCAGCTGGCATATGTCCCCATCTTTGAACAAAAAAATGTCACACAAAGATAATCTGGCCACAAATCAACCAGGTTGACTGCAAACGATAGGTTTTTGCCTTGGGATATATGTTTGCCTCACTGTAACGGCCTCACGAGGCAGAAAACCCAGCAAAAATTGACTGCACACAGTGATATTTCGTGAGTTACGTGCTGAGCAAATGACGTCGAATGAAGGTACTGAATATACTGTGTTCATAAAGTTCATCAAGATGAAAGACAAATTCAATATATGGACCAAAATACAAAACAAAATTCACCTCATTTGAGGGGTCACTAGCGGTTACAAGCTCCTCCAAAATTTCTGCCACTTGAATGATGTTCAAATGATTTAATTCTGCATGATTATTGGTAAGACGTGCAACTGTCTGCGAGATGAAGAGCGCATTCTGACGTGTAATGCCAATCTATGGGTATACATAAGAGTGATGGTTTAAGTTGGTCAATTCTAAGAGAAATTTAATTAAAATGTGTATAGGTACTTTTTAAGGTTAACATTTCAATCGCAAAACTGTTTTTTCCCTGTTAAGATTTGGATATTCATAGCGTTTGGTAGCTAATCAAATTTCAGAATACCAAAAACAGATATGCGTACCTTAGCCACGCATCTGAGAAATGCGTTCAAGTCGGTAATATCTTGACACGTGTCCAACTTTGGCTTCTCTGGAGCTGTATTAACGTAGGATATATGGATTCCTTCTAATCAGCAATATTACGACAAGCAAAATAGTTTTGGTAATGTGTATCGATGTGTCGACTCGTATGCATGGATGTATACTCCCACAGCTATAAAACAATACGATACAAAATCATTTTCTCTTGATTTCCGATAAAAAGGCTATTCTTCGACATCAGTGCTAAAAGCGTCAGTGACTGTTGTCAGACAGAGAAATAACAAACAGTTACCTTTCACAAAGAAGCTTAATGTTTCCGATGCCGAGCAACCATCTGAATCAGTCACTTCACAGGTCACATTGTGTGACCCAAGTCCAAACACTCCTCCCCTAACACCGACACTAATCGCAGATACGAGATCCGTACAGTTGATGCCACTCAGGATAGGACCTTCTTCTACGTCTGTAGCTGTTATCTCAGTCCAAGACACCTCTGCAGCAAACCCACCAGTTGCAACAATCGGATTTGCGATACTTGGTACTGATATGACCGGATTAGCTGTGTGACAAACCAGATATTGCTCATTTCGTCAGCGCTAAATATCACACAATCTGGTAAAGACAAGTACTTTCTTCTCAAACATAACGTAGGTACGGTATAGGTCTTTCAAACATGGTTCCATCGGGGAAAAAAGAAACATACATCAAAAGTACGTCACATACCTGAGACAATGAAGATTATCTTTCTTATTAGCAAAATCCAGCCCTTATCAGTGACAAGGCAGATCACTGAGTTTAATCCATCATGAGTAGTGAAACAATACACGTGCTCAGCACGGGCGAATTTCACTTTCCTGTTGTTATTGAAGGCAGTAATAGCTGCTTGTGGGATCGGGGAATTCAACCGATCGGCATCAACACACATATGTATAACAGTGGGTTCGGATACAGCTGGACACCCTGTAATGAAACCGTAGCATCCGCATTGTAAGTAAGTCTCAATTGAAATTACTCGAATCGTCAAGAAAGAATTAAGCAGTTAATAGTGTTGAACTGGTGAAGGAAACACACTGCACCATTCAAACAGTAACCACAGCTTGTTGAATCTCAATTGACTGTTTAGTCACGTTCATTACTGACTGTTATGACGCTAGTAAAATGGGGCCAACAAGTTCCAACATTTATTCTTAACCTGCCTTAAAATTCGCTTAAAACCCGTCATCGCACCCCCCCCCCATTTATTTAAGACTTAGATCCGCCCTTGGTCACTCAGATCATAACAATTCAGCTTGATGTTGGTCTGACGATAACCGCAGTTTCACTGTTAACTGCCGCTTATTTTGGGTACAAAAGTAGCATCAATAAAATCAAATTATGTAACATTTAGATACAGTTCATTGCCATATCGTTGTTCGCAGGGGTTTTCTTTATTATTTCAGAAAACGACAACAAAAGTCAACCTCATGCAAGACGCCAGAATGAGTTTTCGAAGTTGACCGTCGTTTACCATTCAAATGCGGATATGATGGCAATCTTTCGAGACAGGCAGGATCAAAAGGAGCACTTGAAATTAGAAAACATAAAAGCAGTATCATTTATTCGGTACTGATCACCAGGCCAAATCACAATTTTGTCCATTCATGGCATGGACATTAATTGTGGCTTTGATTCAGACTCGTTTACACCACCTTTACAGAAATTGCTTTTAATTTTGGGATTCTATAATGTAAGTAATTGAAGGGCAACACACTTTTTTTCTCGATATATTTATTGTTAGATACAAATAACCTGGTGTATTATATTTGATTTGATCCTTATTTGACATGCAATTATACGGTTCTAATGACTAGACTGAGATGGTCATGGGTTGGATCTTTCATAATAATATAGAATGAGGTTACTTACCAAGTTGTTCTTGGGTTGATCGGAGACTGTATGAAAGGACATATTACGAAACCTGCGAGCGTGCACTTGGTTTTAAGGGGCAAAGTGATGACATTCTCTTCCGTTGTCACAACGAGGTGTTTGCTGGAATCATTAGTCAGGAACTTTAGCCCTGTAATGGGATATCGTGTCCCCTTAAACAAATAATACAAAGATTTAGAAGACTCACGTTAAATTCACCACGGTTCATTAAAAGTCATTAATAAGTCAGTCAAAGTCATGTCGTATTATTTGAATCAAGTCTCAGGTCAAGTGCAAAGATTATTAAGTGAACAATTTCTTTCTTATTCACAGACCTTTGATTCAGCGGCGTAATTACTACAAGAGCAGGCACGTGGGACGTCCTTCAATAATTTCTTCCACCCCTACCCCCCCCCCCCCTTGCCCCTGCCTGGCCCCCTCCCCATTTAAAATCTTGATTTGAACACTACAATTTGTCTTCAGCACCTCTCTTGAAAAATATATGAGCATATTTTCGAAATTGCTTTTACTTTACCTGGCGTGACTGAATTGATTTTATCTCCAGCACTTCGCTAACAAACCGAAAATGTTGAGAATTTCCAAATTAACGTGCATTGAGTGAAAACTTGAACCGGAGTAGGGTGAAAAAATAACTTTATGAGTGTTATATTGCATCTCTATTAGAATGAGGATATTTAGAACAGAGACAGTGGTGGTCTGAGGGCTAGGGTCCAATTCTGGTAAAGGGACCAGATTTTATAGGAGTCTTTTTTATAGGCCACCGAAGAGCATGATTTCCTATAAAACTGTTCCATATTAGTTATGGAAATTTCAAGTTCCTTGATTTGCATAGGCCTACTATCACTCATGGCACGACCTAGTTTTCTCACCAGATTCACTTCAACTACTGCAAATGTCTCATCTGGGCGGCTGCAATATTCTTTAAAAACTTTCATCACAGTTCCAGATGCTGTCAATAAAGTTGGATAGATGCAAGTTATAAGCTAGTTTCTACAGCAAAAGTAGTTCTGACGTCTGTTGTTCTCTGGAGCAGATTTTCATTTGCACCTAATTTTGATGTCTTCTCAGCCTACACTGTAATCTCGCTTGTAATACAACGAATTCATTAAATGCTAAAATAGAATCATGGCTCCAAAGAGAAACAATTGAGAGAAGCACAACTCGCCAACTAAAACAGCACAGCCCACAATTAGACGAGGGTTTGCTGGAGTACACAGAACAAATAAAAAAAAAAGTTCAAGCCATACGGTATTTCTTTGACCAACATTAGAAATATTTAAGGGCACCAGTTAAATAAAGGGGTTAGGTGTATTAATATAATGTGTTTCACAGCAAACAATGTTGATGGCAATCGCAAATTTGCCTGTGTACATTAGAATACGAAAACATTGCTTGAGTAGTAAGCATAGTGCATTTGAGAAGACACGAAAATTTGTTTTCCGTCATCATTTGTCAAAAAAAAAATCATGTTTTATGTTATGACGAGACGAACTGCTTGCCTAACTTCGTAAAACCCTTAACAAAGAGTTTATTTCACTGCACACTATGCTTTATATACCTATGGCATACACATTTAACATCGTGGCATCATACTTTTCCACTCCACTGCATGTCCCAACGAAACAAAATCAAGAAGAGAAAAAATAATTAATACATTAACTACTATACTCACTTGTACCAATGTAGTAAATAGAGTTGTCAAAATCGACAGCTAGGCTGGTAAAACGAACATCGTCTACGTTAAATATGGGCGGATCTGATGTTGGAAAATTGGCCGGTGGTGCAACTTGAGTTCCTCCAGTTCGTTCCATGGCGTTATAGCTGGGCACCGACTTGTGTAGCAGCGGAGGGTAGTCGGTAGTGTGAACTTCGTGACACTGAGAGGAAAAAAGAAAAAGTTTATAAACAAAAGAATCCGAATATTTGGTCAATAAGAATCGCTTTTAGTAAAATGTACAGAGAAAGAGAGGAAATATAAGCTCTTGTCAAAAAAAAAGTTGGTGCATATAACAAAGACCTTTTTTTATTATACGCACAGCATCGTCACAAAACAAAATATGAACTAGTGAAGGTTTGCGGTAGCACCATGTGGTGGATGGGGCTGCACTATACTGGAGCTGAGTGATCACTGATGCGTGTAGAAGTTGATGCCTAAGATTGGTTGTTGGGGCCTGAAGATGAGGATGCCAAAGACTGGTCACTGAGGCGTGGGGATAATGATGCCGGATGCTGGTTACTAAGGTTATGACGATGAGAATGCTTCAGTGGGCTGGTTTAGGCGTGTAGGTGAGGATGCTTGGGAGTAGGGGGCGCCAGATGTTGCTGAGGTGGAATCAGATGTCTTGTAACTAGTGATGCGATTCTTTTGGATCTCGATGGCCTTTCTAATTCTTCGTGGAAGACAATCCACAGGGTGTTACCTAAAACCTTCACTAGTTCATACTAAAGCCATGCAAAGTTTCAAATCTTACAAAACATGAAAGAAACAGTGACAGGTTAAACAGCTCAGAAAAAATATCTATTTTACTGTTTGGCGTAATAAAGTGTACGTAATATGATAGCAAATGTAAAGATGTAAAGATTAAATTGCGACTAAAATGTAAAGACTAAGTGCTTTCATTCTTATATTAGTCGATGACGTATAGGTAAATCGGAGAAAACCATACCGTTCCGGGCCTTGGTTTTAACTGCGTAGCCACTTCATTCCACAAGGAGTTGATACCACCCCAATCATTCTGTTGCGTGAAATAACCGTTATCGAAAAGATTCATGATATCTTGCATCCTGTAACTGCAGAGAGCTGACGTCGGAGGTCTATTTCTGTGGTAAGATATGATACAAACAATGCAGGGTTATAACAATTATATGGGAGTGAAGCCATCAAGTCACGACATATAGGTCTAACAATCGGTGGCTTGTTGATGGCAGCTGAGAGAGGGGAATAATGTTGATAGCACAAATGAGTTATGTATTGTTTACACTTGGTAAAGGATTGACGCGTGTGCCTCGTTCAAAAACAAATTCCACATCGCAATGGCAGAGGCTTACTTCTCTCCGTCATTTTAGCAGGTATCAGTGAAACCAGTGTTAATTATACAGACCAATAAAAATACCAAAATACACCAAAAAAAGCCCCCAAAAACGGGGACAAAATTCAGTTGTTAGATGGCAAAGTAGTCTGCCTTTTAACTAATATTTATTTTTGGACAGCAAAACTGCGTTTAAAAGAATGGAATATTTTACTTACTCTTGGAGTGTGAAAACTGCGTATACTGTTTGACTACTTTGGTCCCAAACCACATCCTCTGTCAATAAACGTGAGGTATTGAAGTAAAGTTTATTGAAAATGAAAGCTTTCATTTCATTTACCTTTATTCGTCTTCAGACCAATCCAAAGCAACATTGTTTAATAAAATCACATTTACCTATATTCATCTATCATGTGCATTTCATTGTTCCCCAACATGCAGTTGATGAATTTGTCACGAACGATTGGAAAGAATTTGTACAAAATGTGTGGACAGTTGATAATATTCAATTTGATGAAATGAACAACTTGACCGAAAGTCTCAAAAAAGGATTGGATAAGGTAATTATGAAAGGTTTCCTGATGCCACATAGTAGCTTAAAGCTACAGTCCATCATTTGTAATTTTTGCGTTTTGTTCGTTTGAAGCAATAAAAGGGTTCAAAATCTAATGAAGGATACTGAGCAACTAACCTGATGAAATTTCAGCTAAGCTTCAGCTGTACATTCCGAGAAAAACAGCATTCTAAGATCTCAATTTCAAATCCAGAGTTACTGAATCATGTTTTGAATTGTTTTGAATTGCAGCTATACGCAACGTCGCGCACTGATCCGACGAATTATAACAACCGCGCGCGCGGGTGCGTCGTTCCAATACTTGTGCGCGCTGCGCTGAATAACAAAACGAACTACTAATTTAAATTTTCCTACGGTGCTTCTTAAGAATCACCGTTGGAAATGCCTTGTTTTTCAACAATAATTACGCCAGTTACTTTTCGGATGGCTGTAAATGATGGACTATACCTTTAACAATGCGAGCCTCAGACAGTTTGCTATCTGAACTTATTGTACAAGACAAAGGGTACACTAGGGGGCAAAGAAATGAATTTGTGTGAATTGACGTTTAAAAATAATTAGCCGTTGACAACTCTGAAAGTAGCTAATATAATTATGCTTTTATATTCTGCTAAAACAACCTGCATTGAGTTTGACTTTACTTGCCATAGGCTTGCAAGAAGAGGTGACCCGTATTGCCCGGAATAAATTGACAGGTGTTTTATATACATACGCATATAATTATATTGAAATGCCGGCTCATCTCCATTGGGTACGGAGCATTCCAACGAAGCCTTGATGAAGGTGACAAACTTGTGTGTGCCAGTATTGTCTCCTGTATCATTCTGGGGAAAAATTGACACAAGTGGAGGATGACAAAGTAAATCGACTGAACGAAGATACATTGATATTACTCTACAGCGTGTGGTAGAAATGGTTTGTATGCTTGAACAGAACAACCGTTGAAAAGGGAATAGCATGAAGACCGATTTATTGTACTAAAATCATTTTATATGTATATTGTTTTCAGATTAAATTACAATTAAATAGCTCCATTATTTCATTTTGTGTTGAAGTTGCTCTAACTGAAGCAATATAATTACTTGTCATGATTAATATTAATGTAATAATTGATTTACAAAGTCCATATTTCTGTAGCCAAACAATATTATAGGTGGATCCTTGTGTGCACTGAAGATGCCAAAGCAACCACACACAAAACCTCCTTTTGTATTCAGAGCCTTAAAGATGCCCAAAAGTGGAACAAAAGGAAATGTATTCAAAATGAAAAAATCATTCGGTGGAAACAATTATGCACAACTTGTCGAAGAGCATGGAGAGAAGAAATGTTACTTGATGAGTAAACAGACCAAACAATCTAACAAGCTCCGCGAGCCAGTTTGACCCAGAATCTGGCCCAGTATATTTTACCTCGTACACTTTTCAGGTTTCAACTGACACATTGTGGGCTCGTTAAACTCATATTCTGGGTCATTTTGACCTTGAAAACTAGGCAAAGGTGTCATATTAATCCTGAAAAAAAAGTGTTAATTTTGACTCTGCAACTTGCAGGTCAAATTGAGCCGGATTTATTTGGTAAAATTTATCCAGGATTTTTAGGGTGTATACCAATATGCTGACACAAACCTGAGCTTTGAACAGTTTACTTTACGCTATTACACATCTGACCATTTGAAAAAAAATGATGACCCACCAACCCAGTGCTTCCGTTTAAGAATTTGAAGATATTCCTTTACCTTGCACACTCGGGCAATGCGCGAGTTCACTTTGGGTCCAGCGGTGTACTCCAGTGCAACTTCACGGTAGAACAGAAACACATACTCGTTACCATCATCGTGTGTGTACTCAAACGGTCTCCCCACAAAGGTTGGTTCTTTGAATACACACACATAAAAATCAGAGATATGGCACACAGTTTGTTATATTATAGAAAAACATATAAGTGCCCATCGCTAAATGGAAAAATTACACCGCTATCCCACGATTCCTCCTTAAATCTTACTTAGATGGTTAACTTTGAACAATATTTGGTCAAAGGAAATGCAAAAATTCAACATACTTTCAAGATGTATTATACTTTAAAGCAAATACAATTTACCTGGCCTGACATTTCGATATCAAGCGAATGTCTTGTTAAGATTGAAACGAAGATAAATATTAATCCAGTAAGTAAAAGCCGTTTGCAGCCGTTAATTAATTTCCATGTTAATCAGATGTTATCGTGACGGCAAAACACTTAGTATGCTAGGTAAAAAAACGAGCCAACTTTACTGTTATTGTTACACTCTAAAAACAACTTTAGTCAAAATATTGACTGGTTTTCCTAGTAATTGAAAATTGAAAAGGAATTTAGTTAAACATGCAAAGTTTCATACTTTGACTGGAAAAAATAGTTGGGTTCGACTCCAATTTCAGTTACTTGCATAACTATTTTTCCAAAGTCAATAATACTGACTGGAAAAATCTAGTCAGTTTGACTGATTTTCAGCTGCACCCAGCTGACCCTGAATGGCTAGTCAAATTCGACTGGTTTCTAGTCAAATCTGACTAATGCTTTTTTAGAGTGTACACACCAAGGTTTTGTTCAACTGAGAAATAAAATATGAGGGTAACAGTCTATATTTAATTAAAAATCTTGTATTGTACACCAACACGAGAAGCATTCTAAAATCTTGTACATTGAAGCCGGAGTAGTCTATATGTCTGACTCACCCTTGATAAACCCATCTCCAGTAGTGACTGTATCCAGCTCAAACTTGATGGGATTGCCAGTACTTAAATCTGCTTGTACAGAATATTTGTTGAATGTGTTTCTCGCTCTACTCCCACCATAGAGTATATCCCCACTATCACTGTCTGAAATAAAATTAAAAAAATTGGTTGAGACCAATGCAACATTTTTTTACTTATTGTTGCCTATGGCTTACATGTTCATATGAAAATCAGCTACAACTATAGGTTTACTTTTTAAGAAAGCAACAGTCTAGTTGAAATCATTCCAGGTACAGTTCAGTAAATATCTGCTAACTTCAAGATTTCACTTTAGCTTGTTTGTGTAGTTTGTTTTTGTTATTGATACCCATACCTATTGCTAAAATAGGGATACTTACTGAACATAGCTGTCGCTGCATGAGTATCTTGTTGTAGAGGAACCACAGCTAGGTGGGTATAATTTGTATTCAATGGATGACACGACAAACTGATAGTACACTGAAAAGGAAAAACACACACAAATACATTAGCAGAACACAATGCTGAACGATTATGCTTGATCTTCAAAACCTCTGCCTGTCATACAAGCAAAAAAAAAATTAAAAAACGAAGACATTTCACAGAAGAACAACTGACATCATTTAGAAACATTTATGATCATATTTTGTATCTCGGCAGTTTGCAACGGTTATAATTGATCTTCCAAACCCTCCACAGCTCCACAAGCTTCAATGAAAATGTCACTAAATTGGAACATAAATACTTACCAACATACTTTTACATAGATTTTCCTCCAACCATGTGTGAGAATATAATTTAGCACCTGTAATTTCAACTATACATTCCCCAAAAGAAGCTAAAGGCCTACCCATTGCAAAATCTGCCCATCAACAAGGACGTTGCCAAATGAAAAAAAAAAAATCGTTTCAATCCAATGACAAAAAAATGTTTTTCAAAGATATTAAAATACCTATCTGATTTTAAGTTTTTGCCTCCCTAAAAAAAAGGGATGACATTATTTTTTTTCATCAAGCCGAGCCCAACATATGGTACACTTGTCTCTCTATATTTAATTTGGGATAATGGACGATCGGAAAACCATGCACCAAAGAGGTGAAAAAAAGAAACATTATTTATAGTTAAATCTCGCAACGCAACTTAAGGTTCAACAAGTGGTTTGTGCTTCTCAAGTGAGTATTTGTTTGCATGAAATCATTGACCCTTAATATCTTCGGCATGAAACAATATCAAGTTTCCTTTCTATCACTGACAAGCTGACCTTCGGGAATTGTGGACTCTGTTGTTCTCTATTTTTTCAATGTCCCCTATTGAATGCAACCGAGTCTCCGACAACCAACTAATACCAACCAGCATACGAATCGACCAGCGACCCACCGCCCATCGCAACCCATCGATACACTACCAACCGACCGACTGACTGCTCTATCTGCCTACCTCATAACACTGTCTGTTCATTGCATTTGTGCCACACACCAGCAAATCACCAGAACTCGTTCTTTCTGCAACTCGTATGAAGTTCCAACAGACTGACTATTTTTCGATAAAGTAGACAAATAAATGTATGAATGGCAACTTTAATGAAGACAAGGGAAGTGTCACTTGTGAAGAAATTGCTCCTTAGAAAAGTTGGCCGCAGCTAAATCAAAAATGTGCTTTTTCAAGATAGGGCATTCCAAATTTGAATGTTAGTATTACTAATTGTTTCGGTTGGATGGTCTGAGGAAATGCGCGTACATTCCAGGGGGGAATTAGGAGATGTGCCCTCCCTCCACACGTTTAGACTAGGAGGATGGGTAACTGGATAATCCCCATATGCACCCACCGAATTTGTTTTTGTGAGACCCCAAATGCTGCTGTTATCTTCTAACAGTCCTACTATTAAATAGTCCTCAAAAAATGGAGAACAAACAGTACAAAACTCTGTTTACAGCGTTTCGATGTAAGGTTGTCGGACGTAAGCGCGCAACTTCGCATGAGATGTACGGAACAGTTGTAGCATAAACAGCGCCCCCAATTGTCATGTGGTGTCGTCCCCACCCTCCCCTTTCAACTTTTCACGGCTTGTCAATTTTTACAATTTGTGGTCGTCCCCCACCCTCCCCCACTCACAGACACGGATTTACGCCTCCGTTTGAGAACAACACACTGTAGTTCAATAATGACATTACTACATAATTATTTGCAATGTGCATGTATGATAAAGCGTGAGCGTACATGTAATACAATGAAATTTACGACTTTTCGTATGCAAACCAATCGAAGAAGTGTTGTACATATATGTAATTTATTCCTGCTAATCTGTTATAAGGAGGAAAATAATTGAAGCCATTTCAACATATTGATGCCCCTAGCGACAACTGTTTGACAAATTTCAATACGCCCTGAGCTATATACGTTGTCTTCTGGATCTGAACAACTTTTATTTAATTTCCATGCAAAATTACAGTGCACCATTGTTAGGATAAAGGAACAATACTGAAAGATTCACGGTGGGTGAACGGACATACTGTACTGACGTACGAACGACTCACCTCTTTATCCAAAGGGTGTAAAATCGGACATGTTATAACAAGACCCTCAGGCTCCATTGTTTCAAATGACATCTAGATAAAAGTAAAATCATCCTTCAATTCACTAAAAAGTACATTTCTAACACCTTTATGTATTGTTTTAAATATTCTGGTAAAACTGGCCGAAATGAATGCTAAATATTCAAATATTTAATCTAAAGAAACCACAATATATGATTGTTCATACAATAATGGATGTAAACAATAATTACCAGCCATGGGCGTCGGGAGAGGTGGGGCGGCAAGGGGTGCCCTTGCCCCCCCCCCCCCCCGGAAAAGCAACAAAACAAAGGCAGGAGAAAAAAAAAGAAAAACAAGACAGAAAAAGAAGCGCGGGGTCATAATGCTGTTATTTTAATGGGTTGGTGGGGGGTAAATATCCCTGCCCCCCCCCTCTAAAAATGATCAATCAAGAATATGCTGGAAAAGTACAGGATTTTTTTTAGGGGGGGGGGGGCTTTGACCCCTGTAGAAAATCCTGGCGACGCCCATGTTATCAGCCCCATCTAAAGGTGGTGCAGAAATAAGGAAACACATTTTTGACAGCAATTTCCACCTACTTGTTGAGCATATTTCAAAAATTCAATTGAATGGTATTAAATATTGATCCTAAAAGACGAAGTCACGAGAAAAAAAAAATGATTCCAAATGCATTTTCGTCTCTGAGATATGGTAGTTTAAAAACTTCATGTGCCAAAACTGTTTGTCCACGGACGGCTCTATATCATCCGCTTGACAGTTGACTGAGTTCAGCAGGTTGATTTGAAGACAAAAAACACTACACCGGGTTTACACGTGGACAACATTGATTTTGATGACTTATATTCAAATTAACATCATAACACTCTTTTTTTCACCACGTATGGTTAATGAGTTGTACTGCATTGCATTATAAACAAAACAAAAACAGGCGCTGCCTTTTTCAATTCCGATAATTTTAAACCTGCCAATTGACTCCCATGGACCTAATTAATAATTACACGCACTTTTAGTGTTTAATGCTCTAAACCACTCTAGATCGCCAAGGCGTTTGAAATTTATTCTAGTATTTCTTGAGTTATTGCCATCTAAACGAGAAAGGGCGTGCTTTATAAAACTAGTGGTCTCGCACTCCAGGACATATACATCCGCACGCCGAATAATTGAAGTTTCGGTCAATAGAGGGCACGCCACATAAATAGTGGTCTCAACAACGCACAAACACGGATGCTGCACAATTGAACGAAAACAACAAACTCGTTTCCGATCAACTACCCCAGAAATTTCGTACAATTAGTTGTCACGATGTGTAGCATGAGTAGTTTGGATGGCGTGAGAAACCCTGGAGCTATGGATATAATATGATCGTAACAATCCAGTGTTTTAAACGCTAACAATTCACGTTGACGTCCATTAGAATTGTATTTATCGCGCTTAGAACCCTGTATTGTTACGTTCATAATAGCTTGAATGTCTGACGGTTTTTTAATGAAATTACATTATTGATTTCAAACATCATGACGATTGAGTGTACGGAAATTCATTTTAATGCATTGTGTATTTCTGGAGTTGTTGGCCCCAAATCGAGTTTGGTGGTGGAGATCGAGACCACTATTATAAGTGAAAGAAACTACGAAACTGTACATCTTTATAATCACAGTAATGTCTTACTTTTGTTGTTGTTACTTTGTTGTTTTCAAGTGAAAGTTTTAAGAGTGTTTCGTTGCCTCCGGTGTAGACATCTTCCCCGATCTTATTGAGAATCTGGTAAAATGGCAGACCAGGCTGACTCACATTGATACTGACATGTGTTTCTGCAAATTCGGGGGAGAAGCAAAATCTTGACTTAAAATTGAATGTCATGAATTACAAATAACTGTGCACAACCACTGTTGCTCTTCTGTTGACTAAGGCTTATCTCCAACTGTCTTACAAGGTTCACCAATTATGAAGGAATAATAACTTCATGATTATTTCATGTTTAGAACTGAAGACAAATTCACTGTTAGTGTCGATTATATCGAAATTCAAAGCCGCTATTTTGCAGTTTCTGATTAGCAGAGAGTAACTCGAGGAATTACACGATTTTGAGTAAAAGTTACCCGTATCTCTATATATCAATCGAAGCTGGAACAAAAGGTGGATCTGTTTTATTTAATGAATAATTGTCCCGGCTGTCATTTGGATGAAGTGGAACGTCACTCAAGTTCGATGAACTTTTGGTACATGTATTAAGAAATGGGATGGAAGAATGTTGTTTTTGGAAGTGAGATAATAAACAAATACAATACATGATGAAAAAAATTCATGAACTCAAGATTATATCATATTCAACAAATATGTTTTTATCACCGTCTAGAGGTTTGGTTCTCCAGTTTCTTTCCAGCTTCACTGCTTCCAGCTCGTTGGGAATAAACGTGACAATGCAATAGATTATCAACAACATCACTTTGAAGGTTGACATCCTGAAAAATAAAGGCGATATGAAAAATATAAAGAATGAACGGCCTATCCGAAGAAATTAACATTGATTCTGTATCAGATTCGCCAATTTTCCGAACTATTGAGCTTTTCGAACTGTTAGTACATTTCCATGATTGTGCGCAGATGTTTATTTTTAGTAAAAGACACAATCTAACACTATTTTCAGATGTTGTGTTTTATTGCATTTTCTTATATTTTTGAATACCTATGACATAGTTTTAAACAATTACCAATTCTTTCTCCAACATTCGAAAGTACTGTTGCTGAGAGCAGTCTATTTGAATTTGCGAAAAAGAAAATTTGAAAATATTTTTGTGTGAACCCGTGATAAACTCCATGTTAGTAGTCCTTCAGCAATACTTTGTTACGTTAACATGAAAGTGTTCTGTGACACACCAATGCGAAGACGTCAGAGAGTTCTACAAAATTTAGTGGCTCGTTTCCCAATAAACACTAATGCAATATGCTCAGAGATTTTATTTGCAATGTTATAGATTTTAAATAAATACAAAGTGTTGGGTGAGGCAGCATTATATCTGTCTTCACCGCGAGTCTCCCACAATAAAAAAAGAGAGAGAACGACAAAAAAAGAAGACAAAACTCAGAGATCAATTTTTGAAAAAAAATCTACTGAATCCTTGTGTTTGGAGAGAAAGAGGGTTAACAAAAGCAATATTGTAACTTAATTCTTGTGGCCGTGGAATAGTGGTAAAAAAGTTGAACATTAATTATTTTCAAGGTTTTAATCAATTTATGTAAGCGTTTTATTCGTACAAATACTTGTTGTTCTACTTGTCAATTGTCTTGTCTGTTGCCAAGTGTTTGCATTGTAGATTTGATATTTCATTGATTGCATTTTATGGAGAGCCAACAGATTTTGGCAATCCTTCAGGGATATTATCACTATTGTTTTTGTTTTGTTCTTTTTTTACACTGGCTTATTACCTTTAATTTTGTATTGTATTCTGTGTTAACGTGTGTGTTCTTACCTCAGAAATAATAAATGAAATGAAATGAAATGAAAAGAATAATACAAGCAGCTGCCCGCTTTTAGGAATCTGGGTAACAAATGAGATGATTAAACTTTCAGTGATACCTCTCTTCAGTGTTTACTTTGCCATAACATTGGTATGGTTTTGTTATATATTGGCACATACGATTGAAAAAAAAAACCTTATGCAGAAACAGAAAAAAAACTCTACCATGATTAGATGACATCTGTAAGGTTTAGCTTATATTCTAAAATAATCTGATTTTCACAATTTGCGGAGTCCTCAGACCCATGCTCAGTTTTCTTTGCCCTTGTGTAAAAAAGTTGCCGATAATGTTCGGAAACAGAGAACGGACCGATTTATGTGCGAACTTGGTAAATTCTCAAATATGTGTGCATCCAAGTTGTAGTACGTTTATTCTCAGCGGTGACCCTACGAGTAAATTGTAAAACCTGCAGGTTATTTACCTGTTCCCTTGTGCAGTAATAATACTACAACCTGCATTCAGCACTACCGACCCATGGTGCTCAACTTTACATAACAATCAGTCTGCACGTCTGGTGCGACAGCCAACAAAGCATGCAGTTTACATTATTGTTCGGAGTTCAAACTGTTAACTGTAGAATGAAGGAGGAAATAAATATTGTGTGCAGCATGTTACATGGCTATTTCTGTAGCCGTGGCAAAATAAAGAAAATTTGTCGTTTTTAAATTGCATTGTTATCGAAGGAATCATCTCTTTTCATCGCAAATTGCAGTTAGAAGCTTTGAGAAGTTTTAAGAGAGGCAATCTAAATACCGACGATGCCTTGTAAAAAGAATTAAAGAGAGAGAGAGAAAAAAAAAACTTATTGTTTTTGAAGGGACAGTCAATTTACTTACTGTAAGTGCAACCCTTCGACCTAGTTGTACTCGATTTCTTTTTTGCTCACTTGGAAATACCAACATCTCATTCATTGTAATGTCTAACATTCTAGGGCCCGATACTCTTTGTCAGAGTAACACAAAAGTACATCATGTGACGATTTAAAGTATATACCACCAAGTATATTAGAAACCGAATTGTTCTTTTTAATTTCAATTTAGAAAGTATGAATGAGTGACGTCCTGCCTACCTGTCTCAGAAGAAAACTGTAATCCAGGTAGACGCTTGTGGCAAACAAGAGCAATTAAACCACTGGTAAGGGAGCTTTCTTCTCCACGAACGTTCAGGAACAACCCTCGTTCGTTTGAAAAAGATGTGATTGTTTGTGTATCCAAAGAAAACTCAGCTTGCAGGAGCAAATCTGGGGTTTGGGGAAAACCTCGGGTCCAATCTGTTGCGCTTCCGCTCCCACAGTGAATTGACGTTTCACTCAGCTTTTCTTTATTAATGCAAGAGGGCTATGATTCTAAATGGTTTCCGAACCTCGGATTCGTTTCAGCTCTGGTTATATGTCCGGGTAGTTGTCCTTGTACTTTGCATCAGAAAAAAAAATGAAAGGCTTTTATATTATAACAAAAATACTTGCACATAATTTGAATTCCTTAACCTGCAGTAATATAATGTATGCTCTCTTCAAATTTCTTGAAATGTACCAAAATTTGGTGCACATTTTCCGGAGAGGTAGCAAAGTCATTGACTATCAACGGAGAGGATATTATTTCAAACACTGGCTCGTTGAGAATTAGTTTCAAAAGAGAATATTGTTACTTAAAGCTTAAGATTCTAACCATGCCTACTTCGGTCATTATTTGATTTTCGTATTACAAGCTTAAAACTGTGACTCTGAGCAGGCAAATGAACATAATCAACGAATGTATTTTGATTGGGAGGGGACATGCGGACATTGCACGCAAACCCATTCTCTCATTTTCTTGCAATGGGGCATACGCCGTGAAGTCCTGCGGAGACCACACAAACCCGTCGTTTTCTTTTGAAGGTTACCGGAGTTGCCTCGTCGTCGGGGTTCTTTAAGGTGAAATGGTGCAGCAAGTGTGTGAACAAGACGAACATCTTTTGCCTCTTAACCCTAAAGGGGCCGGGTTATTTTGACCATCTCTCAGCCGGGGGGGGGGGGGGGGGGGGGCGGATGTGTGTGTGTGTGTGTAGAAAGCCAACGTAGCAAATTCTAATCTAGCTAAGTCTGACTTGAAACTATCATTAATGTGCACTTTCCTACTCCAAATGGCGTGAGCTCCTCGCGGGATTGAAACTTTTCATCTGCGCCAAGAAATAGCTCTGGCCGAAAGTTGTTCGGTTCCTCCCATACAGACGGATCAAAGTGGGCTGAGGCTATCGGGGCAGGCTTGCGGCAGGACTGGGCAGTAAAGCCAGTAAGCTCCCCCTTACAAAGAAATTCGTTATAGACAAACATAAGGCCAGTTGAACAAGTCCAGCTTCAAATTGATTTGTGCAAACTACATCTAACGCTGGTATATGCGAAAAGATGTCGAAAGGTATGGGGAGGCGTCAGCCCCAACGAGACTTTCCTCGGCGACAACCTTCCAGCAATCGCTTACAAAAATAAAAGGCTTCGGTACGTACGGAAGCCCAACAGTTGCAAATTGGAGGAAGCGTCAGGCACATAACACGCAATCGAAGCGGGCGCACAGACGGATACGGACACAAATTCTATGAACTCATGGTTCATAGAATTATAGCGGTCCCTGAGCCACAGGAAAAGACTCCAAGCTCGTTTTTATAATGAATGCATACGGGGGCAAGTGAGTCTTGATTTGATAGACTCGAGCCATTCACCATGAGTCCAACTCATGGCAAAAAAAGCCAAACTCTGCAGAGGCATCAGAGTACAGGTGTAATAAGCCATTGCTAAGCAAAACTGAAGCTGGAAATGATATCGACGTGTCATTAAAATGAATGATGGTTGAGTGAAAAAAAAAAGCATTTCCCGTTTTTTTGTGGGAGACAGGACTGATCCAAATAGCCTTTTTCTTTTTACTCACCCTGTATATCGCATGTTTGTAGTTTACACATCTCCAGATGGCGAATCCGTATGAACGATCGGACCCTGGTGTAAAAATCTTGTTTTACAATAAACCAATCTGGGCAAGCTATCAGTTCTATCACGAATGCCCCTTCAATAGCGACAATTTTGTGCTAGCATTTGTCCAGATAATAAGTCACATGACACTTGCTATTTACTATAATGTCCACACAGTGTTGTTCTGTTGGAGGAGATTTCGTGGGCACAGTGACCACGTGCCCAGATTCGTCTTTATGGCCGAGGACTTGTACTAACAAAAACAATGCAGCATGTTAAGCGCAAACAAAATACAAGCCGAAATTAAACCAACTAACATTTTCTTTTAATAGAGGACGCGCTACCCAAAATGAAAGTGGTCAACACCGTACACGGAGAAAAAAAAACTTTGTTCAATTTCGTTTGAAATCTACCGTAAATCTGTCCAACTACTGAATAAAATAACAAGGCACTCATTGCCTGGACGATAACCCAAGAAATACCTGTTTTTTTTCTCAAGAAATACATATCTTTCTCCGAGTTGACAAAATGTATTTGGGTGGGGATCTTTACTTCTGTACCGCGCCCTCTTTTGAAAGAAAAAAAAACGAATGAAAGTCAACTTACATATAGATTTAAAAACAACACACTCGTTTTCAGGACGATAACTCAAGAAACATTTGGTTTCCAGATGACAACTTAAGAAATACTAACTACATTGAACCGAGAATCTGCATATCAATTTAACGTGACGTGCGACACAATTCGGTTAAAAATCGGGGAATATCGTCGAATTACAAAAAAAAATTCAACGAAACATGTTAAATTTTAAGCGCGAAAAAAAATCGACCCGAATTAAAGTCAACTGTTATGGAATGATCGCAATGTACTCATAGAGAAATACCTGTTGCAACAAATTGAAATATCATCTAGTATTAGATGTGACACATAACACAATTTTCTTAAATATTGAGAGAAATTGTTAGACAAATTTAAATGATATACTCATTTTATTATAATTATTAAGCGCGAAAAATACAAGCCAAAATGAAGCCAACTATTTTTTTTTCAAAAGAGGGCGCTCTACACAAAAAGTGGTCACCACTGTACAGAATGTTGCACGTCGATAACATATGCTCAGTTTTGGATAAAAACTACTGAAAACTTGACCAACTACTGAACAAAAACAACGCACTCGATGTGCGGAAGATGCCCAAGAAATAAGTGGTTTTTTTTTCTGCGTGTTGACAAAACCTTCTTGGGTGTGGACGACTATTTCTGTTGCGCGCCCTCTTGTGAAAAAAATACAACACGAATTAACGTCAAAACAAACTCGCTATATTTAATAAAAATGTTCTATACTAATTTCATGTGAAAATAATATGAAACAAGAACATGCAAACCAATGCATTGTACTAAGCGCGAGGCAAATTTAAGGCAACTTTCAAGACGCTAAAAACTCACTCGGATTTCAGACAATGAATTGAGAAATACTTGTTAAACTAAACAGAACTGTCGTACATTAACTTAGTGTGACGTCTTACAAAATCGGTAGAAATCGTCAAATAGCAAAAACGATATAAACTAGACCTGTGTTTACAGCGCAAACAAATAAAAAATAAACGCGTCCGAAATAGAAGTCAACTTTTATGGAATTAAAATGAAAAACAACGTACTCGGTTTCTAGGCGATAGCTCAAGAAATACATGTTACAACGATTTGGAATTTCATCTAGTTATTGTTTGTGATATATAACACAATTGTTTTTTACTATAAAGAAAAATTGTTAAACCATTACAATGATATAACCAAAATAATGCAGTATGTACAGCGCGACAAAAACAAGCCGAAATGAAGTCAACTCTTATTTCTAGCAAAATAGGGCGCGCTACACAAACAGTGGTCACCATCCTACAAAATTGTTGCACATCGACAACACATGCTCAATTTCAGTTATAGTGTACCATAATCCTGCCCAACTACTGGACGAAACAGCGCACTTGTTTTGCGGACAATGTCTCAAGAAATACACATTTTTCTCCGTGTTGACAAAATTGTATTTAGGTAGGAACCAATTGTTCTGTAGCGGGCCCTAACTTGACAAAAAAGTATAATACGAATTAAAGTCAAGTTATATCTGGAACAAAACAACACACTCGTTTTCCGGACGATAACTTGAGAAATACTTGTTACAATAAATCGCAACGACGTATATTAGTATTACTGTGATATTTTAAAAAAATATGTTTACTATTGAAAAACAATCGTCAAATAATAAAACTAATATCACCAAACAAGTTGTGTCTAGTAAACGCAAAACAAATACAGAGCCACAAAATACAATTTAAGCCATATTACATGACACGAAAACAACACACTCGGTTTCCAGACGATAACTTGAGAAATAGCAGCTATATTGAATCGAACTTCTGCATAATAATTGAATGTTACTTGCGATACAATTCGCTTGAACATCGTGCTCAATCGTCAAATAAAAAAAGAACGTATATAAACAAACCACATACTATTTTAAGCGCGAAAAACCTGACCAGAACTGAAGTCAACTTTCATGGAATGATAACGTACTCGGTTTCTGGACGATAGCCCAAGAAAAACATGTTAAAACAAATTGAAATTTTATCTAGTTATTGTTCCTGCTGTATAACACATTTCTATTGAATATAAAGAGAAACTGTTAAACAATTACAATGATATAACTAAAATAATTACGATGATATAACTAAAATAATGCAGTATGTACAGCGCGACAAAAACAAGCCGAAATCAAGTCAACTCTAATTTTTTGCAAAAGAGGGCGCGCTACACAAAAAGTGGTCACCATCCTACAACATTGTTGTACATCGACAACACATGCTCAATTTCAGTTATAGTGTACCATAATCCTGCCCAACAACTGGACAAAACAGCGCACTTGTTTTGCGGACAATATCTCAAGAAATACACATTTTTCTTCTTGTTGACAAAATTGTATTTAGGTAGGAACCACTAGTTCTGTAGCGCGCTCTAATGCGAATTAAAGTCAATTTATATCTGGGACAAAGCAACACAGCTTGTTTTCCGGACGATAACTTGAGAAATACTTGTTACAATAAATCGCAATGACATATATTGAGATTCATGTAACATTTAACACAATTGGGCAAAATGTCAAATAATAAAACTAATATCACAAAATAAATGTTGTCTAGTAAAAGCGAAAAATACAAGGCCGCAAACTACATTTTAAGCCAACTTGCATGACACGGAAACAACACACTGGGTTTCCAGACAACAACTTAACAAATGGTAGCTACCTTGAAACGAACTTCTGCGTAATAATTAAATGTGACGTGTGATACAATTCGGTTGAAAATCGGGTACAATCGTCAAATAAACAAGTATATAAACAAAACATAAAGTATTTTAAGCGCGAAAAATCTGACCAGACTTCAAGTCAACTTTCATGAAATGATAAGAAAGTACTCGGTTTCCGCACGAAGAAATACCTGGTGCAACAAATTGAAATGTCATCTTGTGTGGTTTAATGGACGATAACTCAAGAAATACTTTGTACATTGAATCGAAATGTATAATATCACAAAGAAAAGTTTGTCGTATATTAAAAAAGACAAATTCGTGATATTTAACACAATTCTGTTGAAAATGGTAAGAAATCATTTTGAAACATTAAAATAATCCAATGCAGTTTAAGCGGGAAAAATGCTAGGCGACTTTTTTTCTTATCTTCATACCTCCTTCTCCATGTTTCCCGCTCTCAACAAAAATGAAAGGAAAAAAAATGAAAAAGTAATACAATACAAGAAAAGGTAGATTGTATGGTACATTGAACTTATGTATATGACTTAAAACCCTTAGAAATATCCCTGAAACGCGCCTAGACGTACATAAATACGTATACGGATGGCTTTGAGCAGTGCCCAATCAAATGATGTTCCCCCTCCACTCTTCGAATTTTGTTTTCAACGTTCCACGTTTATACCAAAAAACATTCAATTTAAATTTTGCATTAAATTACATAGGCATTACATCATGTTTCAATAAGTCAGTATAGGATCATGCTTCCGTCAATTTTATACATAGTCCTCCGGCAGACTTAATTTTTGAGATCTTCAGAAATCGCGCCTGAAAACGAGTCGCCGACATCAGCATCTGTAGCAACACAAGTACTCCCTGTACCGGTACTCATTTTGGAGAGGGACATACTATTTCCCGGAGATGATGTGATATCGTTGTTGGCACTAATCTTGGGTGTCTCCCTCACTGATGAGACGTCGCTTTTCCGATACAGACGAACCGGAATGCGCCGCAGGATAGCCAGCCAGGCCCCGCGAACATCCCTCTGCCTTGCGCAGAAAAGCAGGAAGATAAGCAAACCTTGGGCAGAATTACAGATAGCAAAGAGCAACTGAAAGGCAAAGGTGAATTCCTTGATAGCGGACATGAGTCCGAAGATCCAAGTCAGACCGAGCAGCACCGATATGGCTCCGGCGTTCTGCAGGCGACGGACCGTCTGCTGGCGTGTGCTTTGGCTGCCGATGGACTTCGTTTGGCATGTCAGCTTGCGCATGATCCATGCAAAGATGACGAAGTTGAAGAGGAGAACCAGACCGATTGGCAGCAACAGACCGAAGTAGAAGGCGTTGCCGGGTTTCAAAAAGCAGCTAAAATATTGCAAAACAAAATAACAAGTAATCGTATGTTTGAATGCCTAACTGGAATACACTACAAAACATACATTTCTGATGCCATTTTTTCCCCAGTACATTCACACATTTTTTAAACAAGATACATAACATTAGTCTGGGAACAGACATTCATGTATGCAGAGCCACATTCCAGAAGTTTGATACATAATAGCATGTAAATGTTATGCGACCACGAGCGTCAGCAATCGGGAGTCGGCTTTAAACATTTAGACGTCATTTCGATCAGAAATATACACCGAGCTTGGTCAATTGGTGAATTTAGCTGCCACGGGAGACCCGATAGAAGAATTGCAATGCTAATGGTAAAACTCTGAAGGCCAATAGGCCTACGCAGTTTTGTTTTAGGTAATTAATCACCAAATCTAGGCAAATATCATAGACACCTGTGTGCACGTGGCTATTCCATAGCGTAGTATTACATCCGTTGGTAGGTAAATGGTTTTCTGCAAATGCGACTACTACTCTCAGCTGTTAATATAAATTAATACGTTGAAGCCTGTTTGCTCCCAACTTACTGTTTGTTGTCGGAATACTGGGTGTAGTCTGCAGCAAGAATAATAATCACCACCAGCAGTGGCAACCCTGCATGGCAAATAACGAACGAGAAAGCCATTACAAACACAGAATGAGCATGTCACAAGTTATACCAAGTAAAGGCGTCTGGGTTCATACAAATAAACGTTGTACATGTACATTGACACACCAAAAAAACCACTGAATATCCACACAAAAATCATGTTCCTTTTTATTACTCATCTCTTTCAAGGTGACAAAAGTTAATATGTGGGTTTGATTTTGTTACAAATGTTTCCATAAATATTTTCTTCAGGCCATCGTGCTTACTCGTCGTTAGGAGATTAGCACATCCTTTCGGTATGTTGACCAAATCTGAAAGGCATTCCCTCATTTGTGAACTGAGAGGCAATCGAAAATAAGCCTGGTCTAACCATAATTGGAGATTTAGACAAGCCCTGTATTTTGTTAAGTGATCTTTAGTGCACATCATTGTTAAGGATCATCTTCCTCCAACATTTCGTATTTATTATTCTAGCTGTAAAGTTGCATTTCATTTTATACACAACATTAAATGACAAATCTTACCCCAGCCTGCAAAGGACGCCTTGATCATGAAGTGAGCAACGTTGGCATTCATGACCTTGACCAACATAAGGTATAGGTTGACAGCTTCCACGGCCATCCAGAACATTGCAGCCAGAGTGAAGTAATGGATCAGGACAGCCACGATGCTGCATGATACACTGCAGGGAGATGCCTCGATGCCTGCCAAGAAGAAAACGTACATTCCCAGCAAAGCAAAGCACAGGCTGAGCAAGATCCGTTGGGGCTGCTTGCTACGGAATTTCCTGGTAAAAAAAAGACGTAGGTTCTGAAAGTCATGGGAAAGTTCTGAAGTCAAAGTGCTGCGTGAGAGCAGCAAATACACTAAAATTCCCGAGTCAGGGATCACTGACCTAGAATCTGGGTTCCCGGTTTTTTTTCATGGTTAATTTGACACCTTTCTGGGGAAAATGGATATATAAATGACTCATCTTTACACAATCACCTTCGTAAACTTGTCATTTGATCCGGGAAGGTAATTATTGACCTTGAAAAGCGCCAGGCCAAACCGAACATGGCTTCTGGGTCAATATGACCCAGGAGTTTTGAAAGTGGAGAAGCTAGTATCCCCACGTACATTTCGTTAAAAGAGTCACTAAAGACAAGAACGGTAATAAGTAGAATGTTGACAAATTCTACTTTCAGCTTGAAGTCACTCCGACTTACCGCTTGACTATTGCCCTCTTCCTTCGGCTTGACTTCGTAGACCACGTACATACATAAATAGGAAAATTAGATGATTCTAAATCCAATACAATACATATTATAGCATGTACGACTAAACCGATTTCAATTTTTATCAAAATGCATAAGAATGTTGTTGTTTTGATTTTTTACCAGCTCAACTTACTTGAAGGCAAGGAACGTCCCCACGGTGACAATAACAGCCACGATGGACACACCACATATCAGTTTACTGATAACGTCAAGCGCGGTACTGCTTATTCCGTATATATCCTGCCATCAGAACACAATAAAAGAATACAATGATATTCAAATACTGCCTGTCGTATTTTGCATTCATCTTAAAAATATATAAGCGACTCGTGTAATGTTTTCATCTCACCACAATGACAGCGAAGTTGGTCAGGTGATCGCACACGCAAACAACTCTTCCCTTGCTATCCATCTCCCGCTTGCATCCTTTTGTTGACCAATCTCCGAAACCATTATTCAGGCTAAAGTCCCAGTAGACACACTTGGACCTGCATTCATATCCTTCCGATGTCTCACGTTCACTGTTTATCTGCCCATAAATACCGTGAGCAAAAAAAATAAAAATAATAGTTACGGTGGCCCAAAGCTGTTTTGTTCGACTCGAGCCCAAGGGCGGATCCGGGGGGGGGGGGGGGGGGGGGGGCAAAGGGGGCCATGCCCCCCCCCAAAAAAAAAAACGAAACCATTTTTTTGTTTTTATGTGACACCGCAATAAAGGCAGGCAATGAGTACACCACCATCTTTTCCTCAAAAAAACATTGGTTAAAGTGGTCAGAAATTGCCTCAGATCGCACCACAGAGCATCTAGAATCCCAAAAAAATTCGGGGCCCTTAAGCGGGCTCCGAACCCCACGCCGTAATTTTTTGACCCACTTTTTGGGGGGATCAAAATTTTTTTTGGCCCCCCCAAAATTGTGTTCTGGATCCGCCTTTGCTCGAGCCTGGTGTTTTGGTCATTGCCACTACCGAAAAGGTATAAATGGCTACTTGCATTAGTAGAGAACGCATTGCAATGATCTCGAGCTTGATAAAACGCTTTAAGGCCGTCATTTGTAAGCGTTATATTAGCACATTACCATTATTTAAAGTAAAGCCTACATTTATATGGAATATTGATTAAAGAAAGACGATGATGTGACATGAACACGTCGCTGATGGATTTGATGTCTAATCATCAACAACCCCCAGCCTATTCCAAATTCCTTCATAATGTCGCAGCTCACAACTTGTAACATACTTTAGGTCTGAGGATTTTGGTTTCGACTGCATGCAGCGCCCTGCAGTCGAAACCACATCGACCCTCATTCCCGCCGTCCCCTTTTGAAAACGTGAATTTAAAATCCACAGCCACTTTTTTTTGGAAACTCGTAATTCAGTGTTCATTTCCAATGATTGAGGCACAAATTACATTGATCGGTTGGAACTTGGTTACGATGGGTGATGATAACTTGTCTATCTGGACACCTTCCACCGTGGCAGCGATGATGCGACTACCAACAGAACGCCGGAATTCACCGGGGCCTTCATTGGAGCGAAGTGTAGGCGAACGGAACAACTTGCTGTTCTGGTAGACAAATACACTGATGTTAACCGTCTCTCCTGTTTGTGACACATAACAGTGCAGATATTCATGATGTGAAAAGAATAAAGACAATATTAAAGTTGGTGTATACGTGCTTTTTGGATGTGGCCATGGGCGTCGCCACATTTCCCCCGAAAATCCTTGTACTTTCTGCTTTTCCGGGGGGGGGGGTAGCTCACCCTTGCCATCCCCCCCCCCCCCCCCCCACACACACACACACACACACACACACACACACACACGATGCCCATGTGTGTGGCAGCTTGAAAAAAAAATCAAATTAAATAGAAACTTTTCTAGCATTACATTAGTTAAGAGCTTTCCAATGAGACATCGCACGGAAAAAACAAACAAACAAACAAACAAATCGGCCGATGACAAGTAAATCACTTAATTACTTCCAACTTTTCAAAAAAGAGATGGACGTTCCTAATTCGTCGTTCTGAATGGTGTGAGCAATATCTGATCTGAAGCGGGCCATTTAAAACCACTTTTAAAACCGTATAAAGGCATGTAAAACAAACAAGCGAAATTATTTGTTACAGGACCTTATAATGACCTTATAATCCATTGTAAGGAAAATCAACATTTTGCAAAAAGCACGTTTATACCAACTTTAAACACCCAAACAAGTAAAATTGTAAAAACAAATTGTATTAATAATAATAAATACTCCAAATACTATAAAAGGGCGACACTTCAGTAGACCTGTGCGTAAATTTCAATGACCCCTAACCCCAATTTAACATTATCCTATTTCCACGAAACTCCACATTTGAGGGTTTCTCTTCCCAACAAAGCTTTTTAAGCTACTTGTGGGGGTAAAACAATAAGTCGACCCCAAATTGTCACCGTTATGGTTTGTGTCGCCCGCATAATAGAACACTGTTCAGCACAAAGTGTCGCCCTAGCATGACATTGAGGGTAATAACATGAACGCTTCTTAGGTGTTTACCGACTGTAACTGCTTGAAGAGTTTCAGAAGGAAGAAATATAGAGGCATCCGTCTCTAATAACTCATCGGGTTCGTGGCGGATGACGGTATCATTTTCCGTTAACTCATCGGGCGCATCGTAGTCTCTTAGAGTCGCAAACCAGAAACCACTCGGACGGGAACCTCTTGGTAAGGTCAGTGCCAAAACGGTAATGCTGCTCTGAGTTTCGGTGAAGTTACCATTACCCGTGAGCTGCAAGGCTGTAGTGTATGACTCCAGGGCTTGAACGATCCGTGACGGTGAGGAATTCTCGTCGATTCGGTCAAAGATGGCCTGGTCTACCCCGTTCGAAGCAATCTAAAGAGAAAAGGAAACAACTAAAGCCTTGCTTCTCAGTATTTCTATTTTTAATGTAGGCTTGAGATGCATTAACGTCACATTTCATTCACAAGTATGTTGGCTTTTTTATTTAAGCAAAATTGATACAAGGAGAGGTTGTTTTACGAGAGCTACATTGTGAAGTACTCGCACATTATATTGCCGTATCAATCGGTCTTAGTATTAAAAACAATGCCTCACAAGATCAATTATGAAGAAGAGGAATATAACTCATTTTATTTAAAAAAAAATCTTGCCACCCACAAACAAAATCAATCTAGCCACAACTGAACCTTCTTGTCCTCTAAAATAAAGTCGTTAACAAATTCGATGACACTTTCGCTAGGGGCCACCATCTTGAAATCAAGTGACGAGTATGTGCTTTCATTGGAAAGTTATTTTTTTTTAGACTAGCACGTAGCCGAGGTTGACCATACACAATGGATGTTAGCGCCTCGGAAGGCGAAACAAATCAAACAGGATATTTGCCTCACGGCCTCGCGAGGCAGAAAACTCAGGAAATTGACTACACACGGTGATATTTTGAGCTACGTGCTGAACAAACGGCGTCGAGTAACGTCTTGTCTCGGCACGTAGCTCTCGTGTGCGGCGGATTTTAAGGGAAAACAACGCAAGTACATGTACCTCATAAACCCCTTCGGCCATACGACCTCGTGTCGCAAATCTACTTTCATGAGAAAAAGTGTGTGTGTAAACGTTATTCCGTCTGTTATTCCTACACAATGCATTTGTATTTTAAGCAGGCGTGGAGTGTTCACATCCCTCCCAAAACAGGCTTGTTAAGTTCTACCAGGTAGCACTAAATATACTATGTTCATAGGATTACCAAGATGACAAGAAATCCTTTATATGGACAACAAATATAGAACAAAATTACCTCATTTGAGGGGTCACTAGCGGTTACGAAGTCCTCCAAAATGTCTGCCACTCTAATGATGTCCAAATTATTTAATTCGGCAAAATTACTTGTAAGACGTGTAACTGTTTGCGAGATGAAGAGCGCATTCTGACGTGTAATGCCAACCTATGGGTATGCATAAGATTGATGATTCAATTTGCTCAATTTTAAATGAAATTTAATTAAAATTTGGAGAAGTTTTATTTTTATTAAAAGGCTTTATATTCAAATTGCAAAACTGTTTTCCTCCGGTTCAGATTTGGATTTTCATAGCGTTTGGTAACGTATCAAGTTTCAAAGATACCAAGACAGATCCACCGCAAAGGACTACTTTTACCTAATTGGGTGGTATTACATCCCATGGTTATTGATAACTGTGCAAATTTAGGTCCCGAAACTTGAATTTGCATACTTAGTGGTAAAGCTAATACCTTTGAAAACAAATATGGTCAAAGGACAGGACCTTCCTTTAAAAATTTCCATTTCATCATCAACATTTGCAAGGTTATTTTCATCATCTATACGACAAACGACGAGAAAGGATCTTTTTTTTAACGTACCTCACTAACGCAACTGACAAAATTGTTCAAGTCTGCAATATCTTGACACGTTGTGTTCTCGACTGCAATATCTTGACACGTTGTGTTCTCGAGCGTTGGCTTCTCTGGAGCTGTATCAACGTAAGATATATGGATTCCTTCCAATCAGCAATATTACGACAAGAAAAATAATTTTGGCAATGTGCATCGATGTGACTAGTATGCATGAACATATACTACTGAGGTTTTATCGCTGGTGATGTTTGAAGACCATTGTGGCGATGATTCTTGAAATCGCATTTTTGGACGAAAGATGTTTTAGGGTCATTGTGTTTAAATGGTGATACTCTTTAAACGGATTGAGCAACTTCAATATTTGTTTTCATCTAAAAGTAGCCAATGAAATTGGCTTTTCGGTCATTCTTATTTTTGGTGCTACTTTTTTTGTTTAAATATGTAATATAATTTTGGGGGTTTGGGTTCCGCTTTTTTTACCCAATCGGTAGCTGCCGCAGCTATGAAACAATACGATACAAGATCATTTTCTCTAGGTTTCCGATTGCAAACAAAGGCTATTATTGTACATCAGTGCCAAAAGCGTCAGTGGCTGTTGTCGGACAGAGAAAGAGCAAACGGTTACCTTTCACAAAGAAACTAACTGTTTCCGATGCCGAGCAACCATCTGCATCAGTCACTGCACAGGTCACTTTGTGTGACCCAAGTCCAAACACTCCTCCCCTAACACCGACACTAATCGCGGATTCGAGATCTGTACAGTTGATGCCACTCAGGATTTATCTTTGCCTGCGTGACGGTTGTATAGCAGGCAAAATTTGTCTAATCGGTTGAGGAATGAATTCCGCGAGGCGGTAGTGCGTGTAAGGGTGGAAAGGGTGTGTCAAATTTGAATATGAAAGACGTGCATTGAATGTACGTAGAACGGGTGAGGCGAAGGCGTGGGGAATCTTTCTAGCTTGCGACTTCAGGTCAGTTAAGAACAAACAGAGACTGGATCAGCTTTAAAAATAGCTCTATGTAAACGTTCGAAACGTTTTGTCTTGCTGGCAACCACAAGGTTTTCCAGAGTTTTTGCTCATTGAGTTTTATCTCTGGGTTTATTCGGGAGTTTGTACGATTACATTGAATATCTGTATAATTATTGTTTAAAATTAAACAATTAAAGAGCCAGCTCCAACTGGTTGACTGCCCCTTGGCAAGCCGTACCCTATATATGGTTATATATGTTGTATATTAATTTGGTGTTGTGTTCATAGGAAAGGATGTATCATTAGAATAGACAGGACCATCTTCTACGTCTGTAGCTGTTATCTCAGTCCATGACACCTCTGCAGCAAACCCACCAGCTGCAACAATCTGATTTGCGATACTTGGTACTGATATGACCGGATTAGCTGTTTGACAAACCAGATATTGTATATTTCGTCAGTGCTAAATATCACACAATCTGGTCAAGAAAACAATTCTTCTCAAACATAGCGAAGTTATACGTCTTTAAACTGGGTTTCATTGGAAACAAGACTTAACCCCATGCAGGTTTTATTTATACAGCAAAGGCACTTGACATACCTGAGACACTGAAGATTAGCTTTCTTATTAGCAAAATCCAGCTCATGTCGGTGACAAGGCAGATCACTGAGTTTAAGTCATCATGTGTAGTGAAACAATACACGTGCTCAGCACAGGCGAATGTATTCATGTCGTTGTTGAAGGCAGTGATAGCTGCTTGTGGGATCGAGGAATTCAACTGATCGGCATCAACACACATATGGACGACGGTGGGTTCGGATACAACTGGACACCCTGTAATAAAACCGTAGCATTATACAATCAGGTTAGTAAGTCTGAAATAAAATAACTCAAATCGTCACTAAAGAATCGTATGAAAGGAAACACACTGTACCATTCAGACAGTAACCAGCGCTCGTTTGATCAGAACTGATTATTCCTTGACAGGGATGAAGTGCCCCCCCCCCCCGTTCATTCACTGACTGTTATAACACTAGTTTATGAGGCCAATAAATTCAGAAATGTTTCCTCAACCTGCCTTACAATTCCCTTAACACCCGTCATATCAACCACCCTCCCGGTTTCCTTAAGACCAGTTCCGCCCCAGGCCTGGTCAGAGACCATAAGCCGAATAAGTCTGAAGATATATAACCACAGTTTCACGATCAACTGCCCCCATCTCAGTAACAGTAGCATTACTAACATCAAATTATGCAATTGTCAGCTACAGCTCATTGCACTATCGTTTATTGCAGATTTTATGGTTGTTTTTTGGGGTTTTTTTTCAGTAAGCGACGACAGAGATAAACTCAAGTAAGATACCAGAATGACTTTTGGAATGTGACCTTCGCTTACCGTTATAAAGCGGATATGATGGCGCTCCATCGAAACAGGCAGGATCAAAAGGTGGACTTAAAATAAGAAAATATAACAGGGGTATCATTTTTTTGGGTACTGATCTTAAGGCCAAATCACAAATATGTCCATTGAGGGCATAAAACACATGGCTTAGATTCAGACTCATATACATCAGCTTAAAAGAGGCTCGGCTGTCATATTGTATTCACTGTGTTTTAAGTTTTGACACTGTCAATTGTTAATGGCAAAGGATCATAACTCTATGGAAAAAGGAATATCTTATGATGAAAGTAATGAAATGTCAACACATATTTTGTTTCGAACTATTTGTTGTTATATACAAATAGCCTCGTGTGGTAATCTATGATACCTTAAACTTGCCTTATTGTAAATACACGTGGTGTTTTTGTTCGATCCCAATTGGACAAGTAATACAGTTCGTAGACTGGGCTGGGAGGGTTATGGGTTGGACCTTTCTTACTTTACCGAATTGAGGTTAATTACCATTTGAATGTACTGGGGTCGAACGCAGACTGTGTGGCAAGACACATCTCGACACTTCCGAGCGTGCAGTTGGTGTTCAGGGGCAAAGTGATGACATTCTCTTCTGTTGTCACCACGAGGTGTTTGCTGGTATCATTAGTCAGGAACTCTAGCCCTGTGATTGGATTTCGTGTTCCCTTAGAAAATTATACGAAGATTGAGAAGACGTATGTTTTATTCATCACGGGTCGTTAAAAGCCACTGAAAGGTTAGGCAGAACCACATCGAATCAACTCTCAGGTCAAGTGTAAAGATATCAAAGTGAATTGTAACAAGGAATTCCTTTCTTAATCCTAGATCTTTCATTCGGCAAATTTGTGTCCGCTCCCATTAAAAATCTTGAAAAAAATTGTGCAACCCCAGCCGGAAGTTTAACCTTTGACACCCTTTTGTATTTAATTTACTCGTGACTGCATTGATTGATTGTATCTCCGGCATTCTCTTTTTTTCCCTTTTCAAAACGAAAATGTTGAGGATTTCAAGAATAACGTGGATTGAGTGAAAAATCAGACGATAACTTGAACAGGAATATTTATATTGCACATGCCTAGTTAAAGATAATTGGGACAGTGACAGTCTGGATGTGAGGATTAGAGTCCAATTATTTTCAAGAGGACCAGATGTAATAGGAGTACAGATTTTATAGGACACCGTTATACTAAACAGTATGGTTGCTTTTAAAAGTGTTCCCATTGGTTCCTGATTTGAGTAAAACGCCCAATTTTCTTACCAGGTTTACTTCAAACACTGAAAATGTCTCGTGTTGAGGGTCGCTGCAATTTTCCTTGAGAACTTTCATCACCGTTCCAGTTGCTGTCAATGAAATACAAAACAAATGGAAGCAAGTTAAGGATCAGTTGCTGCAGCAAAAAAAAATATAACAAAAAAGGAAGTAGACTTTTCTTTGCACCTAATTTTGATGACTTTTCGGCCTATATTGCCACATATATTCACGCTTGTACGTTTAAGTAACATGTAGATAACAATTCAACGAGAAGAAAGAATACACCGAATGTAAAAAAAAGGAATCATGGCTCCAAAGTGAAACATTTGAGAGTTGCACAACTCGCCAACAAAAACAGTACAACCTGCAATTACACCAGGGTTTGCTGGAGTTCACTGAATAAAAGACCAAATTAAGTTCGGTTCATCAAGACACCAAATTCGATGCATACTGCGAGCAGGGACCGGACAGAAATACAACCAAAGGGGGCACCAATTAAATAAAGCGGTTACGTGTATTAGTATTATGTTTCACAGCAAACAATGTTTATGCCAATTGCGATTTGCCTGTGTTCATTGGAATACGAAAGAATAGCTCGAGTAGAAGGTACAGCGCATCAATACCAGCGCGGTATTGAGAAGACCTTTTTTTAAGCTGCCGTGGCCGAAATTTGTTTTTGTCATGATATGTTAAAACAAAAATCCAATATTTATGTCATGACGAGATGAACTGCTTGCCTTACTCCTTATGACCCCTAAAATGGAGTTTATTTCATAGAACAGTTTGCTTAACATACCTATACGAGATAAACATTTAGCATCGTGGCATCATTCTTTTCCCCTTCACTGGATGTCCCAATAAACAAAATCAGGAAGAGAAACAATAAATGATACATTAACTTCTACTCACTTGTACCAATGTAGTAAATATAGTTGTCAAAATCGACAGCTAGGCTGGTAAAACGAACATCGTCTACGTTAAATATGGGCGGATCTGATGTGGGAAAATTGGCCGGTGGTGCAACTTGAGTTCCTCCAGTTCGTTCCAAGGCGTTATAGCTGGGCACCGACTTGTGCAGCAGCGGAGGATAGTCAGTGGTGTGAACTTCTTGACACTGAGAGAAAAAATAAAACATTTATATACAAAATAATCCGAATATTGGGTCAATAAGAATTGCTTTCAGTAAAATGTACAGAGAAGGGGAGGAATTATAAACTCTTGTAAAAAAAGCCCAAAACATAAAGATAAGTTACTGTTGGTGCATAAAACAAAGACATTTTAATTTTAGGCACAGTATCGTCACAAAACAAAATATGAACTAGTGAAGGTTTGCGGTAACACCATGTGGACATCTGTTTTTGGGAAGATGAATGGTTCTGAAAAGAATCGGTTGGTTGTAAAAGTCGACGTTCCGATCAGTATGCTTTAATTGTCTTCGGGAGATGGTCGAACAGGTGGATCGGGCTGGACTATACTGAAGCTGAGTGAAGTAATGCGTGAAGTAATTGATGCCGAAGGTTGGTCGCTTGGGCGTGGATATGAGGATGCTGGAAACAGGTCAACGAGGCGTGGCGATGATGATGATGATGGAGGCTGGTTACTAGGACGATGAGGATACTGGCGGCTGGTCGCTGACTCGTGGAAGTGAGGATGTTTGGTAGAAGGGGGAGCCAGATGTGGCTGAGGTGGAATCAGATATCTTCTGAACTATGCGATGCCTGTGGATCTCTATGGCCTCTCTAATTCTTCATGGAAGACAATCAACATGGTGTTACCTGAAACCTTCACTAGTTCATACTACAACCATGCACAGTTTAAAGTCTTACAAAATATGAAAGAAACGGTGACACATTAAACAGCTCAGAGAAATATCAAGTTTGCTGTTTGGCGTAATGAAGTTTAAGTAAAATCATAGTAAATGTAAAGATGTAAAGACTTAATTGCGACTAAATTGTAAAGACTAAATTGCGTATAAAACCGCGAATGCTGTCATTTTTTAATTAGTCGATGAAGTATCCGTAATTTGGAGAAAACCATACCGTTCCGGGCCTTGGGTTAAACAGCTGAAACCCTTCATTCCACACGGCGTTGGTACCACTGCCCCCACTCTGTATCAAGAAATTACCGTTATCGAACAGATTCATGATATCTTCCATTCTGTAACTGCAGAGAGCTGACGTCGGAGGTCCATTTCTACCGTAAGATATAATACAAACAATGCAGATTTATTACAATTATATGGGAGTGACGCCATCAAGTCATGACATATAGGTCTAATAATTGGTAGCGTGTTTATGGCAGGTAAGGGACCGTGACCATTCAGCCCTGGTATGAAAAGGGCCCCCCGGTACCTTGTCCGGTCCAAAGCCAGTCCGGTCTTCAGCCCAGTCTCGTCCAGTACATTGTCCTGTCTGACCAGAAGTTTTGAAGTCAGCCAGGCGCATCGATTTATTGCCCTTCAGAGAACCTCCAGAGCAGAACAATAACAGACTTACCGGATTAAAGATAAAATCCTTCCATAACGCCTTGGTAATTTACGGTCCCATTGTGCGTGAAACCACAAGGCAGGGGTTTTGATCTGTGCCGACGAAAGTGTTCTATTGTTTCGCGCAAAGAGATGAAAACCACAAGCGGGTTTCTTCTGGGATATATTACATGTGTCAATACTTGCAAACAATAGACCCCAGGATAGAGGAGTTCCTGATTAGCAACTGGACGGCTCCTGGGCCGGTAGCTGAGAGGACTTCTTGGGAGGGGACGACCTTACCGGGGGGCCCTTTTCATACCGGGGCTGAATGGAGAGGGGAACAGTGTGGATGGTACAAATGAGGGTTTTATTCTTTACACTCGGTGAAGGATAGACGTGCCTCATTCGAAACGATTTCCACATCGCAATGGCAGAGGCTTATTTCTCTCTGTCATTTTAGCAGGTATCAGTGAAACCAGTGTTAATTATACAAACCAATAAAAATACCAGAATGCAAAACGAAAACCAGGGACACAATACGGCTGTCAGATGGTAACGTAGTCTGCCTTTTTAACTAATATTTATTGTTAGTGAGCAAAAGTACGATACAAAAATGGAATAAATTTTACTCACTCTTGGATTGTGAAAACTGCGTATATTTTCCCACTACTTTGGTCCCAAACAACATCCTCTGTCAACAAACGTGAGGTATTGAAATAAAGTTTATTAAAATAAAAAGCGGTCATTTCATTTACCTTTCTTCTTCTTGAGACCAATCAAAACCAATATTGTTTATGAAAACGTGTACCTACATTTTAGCCTACGATATATCGTGTGCATTGATCCCCAACAGTTAATTAATTTGTCACCAACCTTTGGAAAGAATTTGCGCAAAAAGTATGGACAGTTGATAATATTAAATTTGAGGAAATGAGCAACTTGAACAAAAGTCTAAAAAAAAAAGGATTAGAGGACATGAACAGTTCCCCGATTCCCCTTAACCGAGCTAATAGTACAACAAAACAGAGATAAGGGCAAAAAGGAATGTGTGTGTATTGTCGTTTGACCCCCGAAAAAAAACATTTGACAGGCTTGAACGTAGCTCGTATTTATATGTTATTATATTCTGCTAATACAACCTGCATGAAATTTGGCTTTGTTTGGCACAGACTGGCAAGAAGAGGTGACACTTATTCCCCGGGAAAAAAAAAATGACAAGTGTGTTATACACTTACGCATATAATTATATTGGAATGCCGGCTCGTCTCCATTGGGTACGGAGCATTCCAACGAAGCCTTGATGAAGGTAACGAACTTGTATGTGTTCATACTGTCTCCTGTATCATTCTGAATATAGACAGAAGTGAACGATAATAGTGTAAATCGGCTGAACGAAGATACATTTATATATCTACAGGGTGTGGAAGAAAGGGTTTATATGCTTGAATAGAACAACCGTTGTAAAAGGAATAGCCTGGAGACCGTTTAATTGTTCCAAAAATCAATTTATAATTTTTTGTCAGATTAAATTACAATTAAAAAGCTCCTTTAATTCATTCAATGTGTCGAAGTTGCTCTATAAGCCGCAATATGATTACACACGATGCTTTATTTAGTTTCACCAACCGTTAATCGTAAGTAAGTTTTGAAACATGGTGGTAATTTAAACTAGTGAATGTTGTGGTGATACCATGTAAACAAATCTTTTTTGAAAAGAAGTGTAGTCCAAAAAGCAACCAACGCACAACCAACCGGTCCTTCAGAACCACACTTAATTAACCACTCTTAATTAGAGAGATTATCGACATGGTGTCACTGCAAAGTGTCACTCGTGACTCGTAAGGTTAGTCTTCTTCATGTGCAATTTTCGAGATTCATCTTGAGCAAAAACATTTAGTAATAATGTAATAATGTAATAATTACTTTACAAAGTTCATATTTTTGTAGCCAAACAATATTATAGGTGGATCCTTTTGTGCACTGAAGATGCCAAAGCAACCACACAGAAAAACTCATTTTGTATTCAGAGCCTTGAAGATGCCCCAAAATGGAACAGAAGGAAATGTATTCAAAATAAAAAAAAAATCATTCGGTGGAAACAATAATGCACAACTTGTCAAGTAGCACGGAGAGAAGAAATGTTACTTGATGACAAACCATACAATCTAAAAGTTCCGAGCCAGTTTGACCCAGAATCTGGGCCAGTCTATTTTACCTCGTACACTTTTCAGGTCTCAACTGACACATTGTGGGCTCGTTGAACTGAGCTTTAAACAGTTTACTTTACGCTACTACACATCTGACTAGTTGAATAAAATGATGACTCACCAACCCAGCGCTTCCATTTAAGAGTTTGAAGATAATTTCTTACCTTGCACACTCTTGCAATGCGTGAGTACACTTTGTATCCAGCGGTGTACTCCAGTGCAACTTCACGGTACAATAGAAACACATACTCGTTGCCATCAGCGTGTGTGTACTCAAACGGTCTCCCCACAAAGGTTGGTTCTATGAATACATACACACACACACAAATCAGAGATATTGTTTACACACAGTTTGTTATATTATAGAAAAACATATAAGTGCCCATTGCTAAATGCAAAAACCAAACCGCTATCCCACGATTCATCCTTAAATCTTACTTAGATGGTTAACTTTGAACAATATTTGGTCAAAGGAACTGCAAAAACTCAACATACTTTCAAGATGTATTATACTTTAAAGCAAATAAAATTTACCTGGCCTGACATTTCGATATCAAGCGAACGTCTTGTTAAGATCGAAACGAAGATAAAGATTAATCCAGTAAGTAAAAGCCGTTTTCAGCCGTTAATTAATTTCCATGTTAATCAGATGTTATCGTGACGGCAACACACTTAGTATGCTAGGTAAAAAAACGAGCCAATTTTACTGTTATTGTACACACCAAGGTTTTGTTCAACTGAGAAATAAAATATGGGGGTAACAGTCTATATTTAATTAAACATCTTGTATTGTACACCAATACGAGAAGTATTCTAAAATCTTGCACATTGAAGCCGGAGTAGTCTATATGCCTGACTCACCCTTGATAAACCCCTCTCCAGTAGTGACTGTATCCAGCTCAAACTTGATGGGGTTGCCAGTACTTAAATCTGCTTGTACAGAATATTTGTTGAATGTGTTTACCGCTCTACTCCCACCATAGAGTATATCCCCACTATCACTGTCTGAAATAAAATTAAAAAGTTTGGTTGAGACCAATGTAAAAAGTGTTTACTAATTGTTGCCTATGGCTTACATATTCATATGAAAAGCAGTTACAACTATAGGTTTTCTTTTTAAGAAAGCAACAGTCTAGTTGAAATCATTCCTGGTAAAGTTCAGTATATGCTAACTTCAGGATTTCACTTTTGCATTTTTTGTTTAGTTTGTTTTTGTCATTGATACCCGTACCTTTTGCTAAAATAGGAATACTTACTAAACATAGCTGTCGCTGCATGAGTATCCTGTTGGAGAGGAACCACAGCTAGGTAGGAATAATTTGTATTCAATGGATGGCACGACAAACTGATAGTACACTATGCAGGAAAAACACACAAAAATACATTAGCAGAACATGCAGGTGAACAATAATGCTTGATCTTCAAAACCTCAGCCATACAAGTCATACAAGCAGAAAAAAAGACACGAAGAAATTTCACAGAAAAACAACTGACATCATTTAGAATTATTTGTGATTATATTTTGTGATCATTTAGAATTATTTGTGATTATATCTCGGCAGTTTGCAACGGTTATTCCAAACCCTACACAGCTCCACAAGCTTCAATAAAAATGCCACTAAATTGGAACACAAATACCTACCCGATTCCAACATACTTACCCTAACAGTCCTGAATCCTCCAATTTAAATACAATTTTGAACACCCCCTAGATAAAGTATTGATTTCCTCCAACCATGTGTGAGAATTACAACTACATAATACGTTCCCCAAAAGAAGCTAAAGGCCTACCCATTGCAAAATCTGCCCATTAGCAAATAAGTTGCCAAATGACAAAACATGTTTCTCGAAGATATTAAAATACCTATCTGATTTTGAATGTCTGCCTGAATGTGAAGAAACAATTCAATAACTCAAAGTCTGATATTTTTTTTTCGAAATTCGACCCATAAACAAATCATTTCGTGTCGAAGTTTGTTTGTCGGCACTACTTGAATAAAAGTTGCGAGATATAATTGACTCAGTGTTTCATTTTGTTTCGTCTCGTCGGTACATGCTTTTCCGATCGTCCATCCTCCAAAATTAAGTATAAAGAGACAAGTGTACGATAGGCTAGCCCTTAGAAAGAAATTCGAGATTTTTTTTTTCATAAAGCCAAGCCCAAAATATGGTACACTTGTCTCTCGATATTTAATTTGTGAGGATGGACGATCAGAAAACCATGCGCGGAAGAGGTGAAAAAAAGAAGCATTATTTATAGTTATATCTCGCAACACAACTTTATCTTCAACATGTTTTTTGTGCTTCTCAAGTGAGTATTTTTTGCATGAAATCATTGACACTTTGTATCTTCGGCATGAAAAAATATAAAGTTTCGTTTCTATCAAAAACAACCTTTGATTCGAGGACCTAAAGGACAAAAAAGAAGTGAATGACATGTGACCAACCCACTCACCAACCAGTCGATTAACTGACCTATTGACACACAGAGTCACTTACCGGCTGACCGACTCGCTAACCCACTGACCAAATGTTCGATCAACCAACAGACAAGCCAGCGAAAAAAAAAAACCCAAAACACAATCGACCATCACTGACATCCAACCAACTGGCTGACCGACTGACTCAACCACTCACTGATCAAACAAACAATCATCCCACAAACTGAACTACGGTGCAACTGCCTAACAGATTAACCACCATCTCACCGACCGACCCACAAACTTACTGATCAACGAAACGATCAACCAACCAACCGATAGACCGAGCCACAATCCAACCAACCAACGCACGGACCGACTGACAAGTTGACCTTCGAAAATTGTGGACTCTGTTGTTCCCTATTTTTTCAACGTCCCTTTTTGAATGCTAAATACACGCACTCATCCACCCACCCAACCACCAATCGAGTCTTTAACAAACCAACTGATACCAACCAGCTACGAATCGACCAGCGACCCACCGCCTGACAAACTGAACGACCGATCAACAGACCACAGCCCACCGATACTCTACCGACCGACCGACTAACTGGACTATCTGCCTACCTCATAACACTGTATGGCCATTGCATTTGTGCCACACACCAGCAAATCACCAGAACTCGTTCTTTCTGCAACTCGTATGAAGTTCCAACAGACAGTCTATTTTTGGATAAAGTAGAAAAATAAATGTATGAATGGCAACGTTAATGAAGACAAGGGAAGTGTCACTTGTGAAGGTATTGCTCCTTAGAAAAATTGGCCGCAGTTAAATCAAAAGGGGGGGGATTTGGAGATGTGCCCCCCCCCCCCACAAACACACACACGTTTAGACCAGGGGGATGGGTAACTGGATAATCCCCATATGCACCCAACAAGTTTGTTTTTGTGAGACCCCAAAATGACGCTGTTATCTTCTAACAGTCCTACAATTAAATAGTCCTCAAAAATGGAGAACAAACAAAACTTTGTCTACAGCGTTTCGATGTAAGGTTGTGGGACGTAAGCGCGCAACTTCGCATGAGATGTACGGAAGAGTTGTAGCATAAACAGCGCCCCCAAAAGTCATGTGGTGTCGTCCCCACCCTCTCCTTTCAACTTTTCACGGCTTGTCATTTGTTTACAATTTGTGGTCGTCCCCCACCACCCCCACACACAGACACGGATTTACGCCTCCGTTTGAGAACAACACACTATAGTTCAATAATGACATTACTACATAATTATTTGCAATGTGCATGTATGATAAAGCGTGAGCGTACGTGTAATACAATGAAATATACGACTTCTCGTATGCAAACCAATCGAAGACGTTTTTTTTTTAAATATGTAATTTATTCCTGCTAATCTGTTATAAGGAGGAAAATAATTGTAGCCATTTCAACATATTGATGCCCCTAGCGACAACTGTTTAACAAATGGAAAAAGTGGGCCTAGACGGGACTTTAAAAGACAAAAGTTCTCTAACGTAACCAATTTCCACATGCTGGAAACAGCTGGATTATATTTCAATACGCCCTGAGCTATACGTTGTCTTCCGGATCTGAACAGCTTTTATTTAATGTCCATGCAAAATTACAAGGCGCCATTGTTAGGATAAAGCATCAATAAAGAAAGATTCAAGTTGGGTGAACGGACATACTGACGTACCAACGACTCACCTCTTTATTTACAGGGTGTAAAATCGGGCATGTTATAATGAGACCCACAGGCTCCATTGTTTCAAATGACATCTAGATAAAAGTAAAATCATCATTCAATTCACTAAAAAATACATTTCTATCACCTTTATGTATTGTTTTAAATATTCTGGTAAAATTGGCCGAAATGAATGCTAAATATTCAAATATTTAATCTAAAGAAACCACAATATATGATTGTTCATACAATAATGGATGTAAACAATAATTACCAGCCATGGGCGTCGGGAGAGGGGGGGGGGCGGCAAGGGGTGCCCTTGCCCCCCCCCCCTCCCCCCGGAAAAGCAACAAAACAAAGGCAGGAGAAAAAAAAGAAAAACAAGACAGAAAAAGAAGCGCGGGGTCATAATGCTGTTATTTTAATGGGTTGGTGGGGGGGGGGAAATATCCCTGCCCACCCTCTAAAAATGATCAATCAAGAACATGCTGGCAAAGTACACGATTTTTTTTACGGGGGGGGGGGGTGCTTTGACCCCTGTAAAAAATCCTGGCGACGCCATGTTATCAGCCCCATCTACAGGTGGTGCAGAAATAAGAAAACACATTTTTGACAGCAATTTCCACCTACTTGTTGAGCACATTTCAAAAACTCAATTGAATGGTATTAAATATTGATCCTAAAATACGAAGTCACGAGAAAAAAACAATGATTCCAAATGCATTTTTCGTCTCTGAGATATGGTAGTTTAAAAACTTCATGTGCCAAAACTGTTTGTCCACGGACGGCTCTATATCATCCGCTTGATAGTTGACTGAGTTCAGCAGGTTGATTTGAAGACAAAAAGCACTACACCGGGTTTACACGTGGACAACATTGATTTTGATGACTTATATTCAAATTAACATCATAACACTCTTTTTTTCGCCACGTATGGTTAATGAGTTGTACTGCATTGCATTATAAACAAAACAAAAACAGGCGATGCCTTTTTCAATTCCGATAATTTTAAACCTGCCAATTGACTCCCATGGACCTAATTAATAATTACACGCACTTTCAGTGTTTAATGCTCTAAACCACTCTAGATCGCCAAGGCGTTTGAAATTTATTCTAGTATTTCTTGAGTTATTGCCATCAAAACGAGTTTGTTCTGTACTTCAAAATTGAAATTTCCTCCAGTGATTTGTCATGATGACTGTGTTACATTATGAGATGTAATTTCATGAGAAACCATTAAACAGTAAAAAAGTACATACCCCCCAAAAAAATGTATTTCAAACGTGAAAAATACAAACCAAATGAAAAATGGAAAGTCAACGTCCATTGAACAATAATAATACACTCATTATTTGAGCAATAACCCGAGCTCACCAACCCAAGCTATATTTAGCTGTAAGTTGAGCAAGTGATCGGTCTTGATGTCTAATTACATAAGAGTAATACATTTCGTGAGAAACCGTCAAACAACTAACATTTCTTTCGAGAAAGGGTGCGCTTAATAGAAGTAGTGGTCTCGCACCCCAGGACACACGTGTACATCCGCACGCCGTGGAATATTTTAAGTCTCGGTCAATAGAGGGCGCGCCACATAAATAATGGTCTCAACAACGCATCAACACGGATGCTGCACAATTGAACAAAAAGAACAAACTCATTTCCGATCAACTACTCAAGAAATACAAAATGGATTAAATCGAAATTTCGTGCAATCAGTTTTCACGATGTGTAGCATAAGTAGTTGGAATGGCGTGAGAAACCGTGGAGCTATAAATATAATATGATCTTTACAATGTAGTGTTTTAAACGCTAAAAATCCACGTTGACTTCCATCAGGATTGTATTTGTCGCGCTTAAAACCCTGTATTGTTACATTCATAATAGCTTGATTGTTTGACTTTTTTGAATGAAATTACATTGTTGATGTCAAACATCATGACAATGGAGTGTACGAAAATTCATTTTAATGCAACGTGTATTTCTTGAGTTGTTGACCCCAAATCGAGTTTGGTGGCGGAGATCGAGACCACTGTTATAAGTGAATGAAACTACGAAAATGTACATCTTTATAATCACAGCAATTTCTTACTTTTGTTGTTGTCACTTTGTTGTTTTCAAGTGAAAGTTTGAAGAGTGTTTCGTTGCTTCCGATGTAGACATCTTCCCCGATCTTATTGAGAATCTGGTAAAATGGCAGACCAGGCTGACTCACATTGATACTGACATGTGTCTCTGAAAATTCGGGGGAGAAGCAACATCTTGACTTAAAATTGAATGTCATCAATTACAAATAACTGTACACAACGACTATTTGCTCTTCTCTTCACTAAGGCTTATCTCCAACTGTCTCACAATTAGGTTGACCAATTATGAAGGAATAATAACTTCATGAATATTTCATTTTTAGAACTGAAGACAAATTCTCTGTTAGTGTCGATTATATCGAAATTCAAAGCCGTTATTATTTCGCAGTTTCTGATTTCCAGAGAGTGAAACGAGGAATTACACGATTTTTAGTAAAAGTTACCCATATTTATATAAATCAATCGAAGCTGGAGCAAAAGGTGGACCTGTTTTATTCAATGAATAATTGTCCCGGCTGTCAGTTGGATGAAGTGGAACGTCACTCAAGTTCGATGAACTTTTGGTACATGTATTAAGAAATGGGATGGAAGAATGTTGTTTTTGAAAGAGAGATAATAAACAAATACAATACACAATGAAACAAATTGATGAACTCAAGGTTATATCATATTCAAAAAAATATGTTTTTATCACCGTCCAGAGGTTTGGTTTTCCAGTTTCTCTCCAGCTTCACTGCTTCCAGCTCGTTGGGAATAAACGCGACAATGCAATAGATTATCAACAACGTCATTTCGAAGGTTGACATCCTGAAAAGTAAAGGCGATATGAAACGATATGAAAAATGACGGCCCATCCAAAGAAGTTAACATTGATTCCGTATCAGACTCGCCAATTTTTCGAATTATTGAGCTTTCCAAACTATTAGTACATGTCCATGATTGTGTGCGGATGTTACTTTTAGTGAAAGACACAATCTAAAAAAAAAATCAGATGTTGTGTTTAATTGTAGTTTATTACATTTTTGAATACCTATGACGAAGTTTTAAACAATTACAAATTCTTTCCCCAACATTTGAAAGTACTGTTACTGAGAGCAGTCTATTTGAATTTGCAAAAAAAACCGAAGAATTGATTTGAAAATGTATTCGTGTGAACCCGTGATAAACTCCATGTTAATAGTCCTTCAGCAGTACTGTGTTACGTGTCCTTGATCGTATTCTGTGACACGCTAATGCGAAGACGTCAGAGAGTGCTACAAGATATAGTCACTTGCAAATTGCTTATAGTTTTTATTTACAATGTTTTAGGTTTGAAATAAATACAAAATGTTGGGTGAGGCTGCAGCTTATATCGGAAAATATCACCGCGATTTTACCGCGATTCTCCCACAATAAAAAAGGACAAAAAAACCACCCCACAAAACTCAGAGATCAATTTTGAAAAAAAAAAAAATCATTTACTGAATCCTCGTGTTGGGAGAGAAAGAGGGTAAAAAAAAAAGCAAAATTGTCACTTAATTCTTGTGGCCATGGAATAGTGGTTAAAATGTTAAACAATATTAATTATTTTAAAAGTTTAAATCAATTTATATATCAGTACAAATAATTATTGTTCTACTTGTCAATTGGCTTATCTGTTGCCAAGTGTGTGCATTGTAGATTTGATATTTCAGTCATGCATTGTCTTGGTCTTAATGGGGGTGTTTTTTTTTTATATATTTGTTTTCGATAGGATTGGGTATTTTTTTATAAACATGCATTTTTCTGTTTTCTTTGTACTTGATTGCATTTAATGCAGAGCCAACAGATTTTTGCAATCCTCAGGGATGTTATCAATATTATTTTTGTTTTGTTTTGTGATTTTCTTTTTTTTACACTGGCTTGTTACCGTTAATGTTTGTATTGTATTCTGTGTTCACGTGTATGTTCTTACCTCCGAAATAATAAATGAAAGAAAATGAAATGAAAAGGATAATACACGCAGCTGCCAACTTTTGGGAATCTGGGTAAAAAATGAGATGATTACACTTTTATTGATACCTCTCGTGAATTTTTACTTTGCCATCGCATTTGTATGGTTTTGTTATGTATTGGCACATACAATTGAAAAAAAAACTTATTCAGAAAAAAAAAATCTACCATGATTTGATGTCATCTTTAAGGTTTATTGTACATTTACAATAATCTGATTTTCACAATTTGCGATTTCGGATTCCTCAAACCCATGCTCCGTTTTCTTTACCCTTGTGTAAAAAACGTTGCCGATAATGTTGTGAAACAGAGAACGGACCGATTTAGTGCGAACTTTGATAATTCTCAAAGATGTCTGCATCCAAGTTGCAGTACGTATATTCTCAAAATTGATCCTACGAGTAAATTGTAAAACCTGCAGGTTATTTACCTGTTGCCTTGTGCAGTAATAATACTACAACCTGCATTCAGCACTACCGACCCATGGTGCTAAACTTTACATAACAATCAGTGTGCACGTCTGATGCGACAGCCAACAGAGCCTGCAGTGTACATTATTGTTCGGAGTTCAAACGGTTAACTGAAGAATGAAGGAGGAAATAAATATTTTGTGCAGCATGTTACATGGCTATTTCTGTAGCCGTTGCAAAATAAAGAAATTTGTCGTTTTTAAATTGCATTTGTTATCAAAGGAAACATCTCTTTTCATCGCAAAATGCAACTAGAAGCTTTGAGAAGTTTTAAGAGAGGCAATCTAAATACCGACGATGCCTTGTAAAAAGAATTAAAGAGAGAGAGAGAAAAAAAAACCGTTTGTTTTTGAAGGGACAGTCAATTTACTTACTGTAAGTGCAACACTTCGACCTAGTTGTACTCGATTTCTTTTTTGCTCACTTGGAAATACCAACATCTCATTCATTGTAATGTCTAACATTCTAGGGCCCTATACTCTTTGTCAGAGTAACACAAAAGTGCATCATGTGACGATTTAAAGTATATACCACCAAGTATATTAAAAACCGAATTGTTCTTTTTTTATTTTAAATTAGAAAGTATGAATGAGTGGCGTCCTGCCTACCTGTCTCAGAAGAAAACTGTAATCCAGGTAGACGCTTGTGGCAACCAAGAGCAATTAAACCACTGGTAAGGGAGCTTTCTTCTCCACGAACGTTCAGGAACAACCCTCGTTCGTTTGAAAAAGATGTGATTGTTTGTGTATCCAAAGAAAAATCAGCTTGCAAGAGCAAATCTGTGATTCGGGGAAAGCTGGGGTCCAATCTGTTGCGCTTCCGCTCCCACAGTGAATTGATGTTTCACTCGGCCTTTCTTTATTAATGCAAGAGGGCGATGACTCTAAATGGTTTCCAAACCTCGGATTCGTTTCAGCTCTGGTTATATGCCCGTGTAGTTGTCTTTGTACTTAACATCAGAAAAAAAATGAAAGACTTTTTTTTATATGAACACTTGCACATCATTTGAATTCCTAAGTCTGCAGTAATGTAATGTATGCTCTCTTCAAATTTCCTTAAATGTACCGATTGAAAGTTGGTGCACGTTTTCCGGAGAGGTGGCAGAGTCATCGAATATTTACGGAAAAGACAATTTGTTGAACAAAGAATCAGTTTTGTCATATACAGACAATAATAACCTTCTATTCGGTAAAATTTGATTAAGGTATTCAATGTATAATAATCTACGTGAGCAAACATGCTCCTCTGTCACACTCTTGATTTCAAAATAAACTAACAGTAACGATTTTAAAAAGCGATGCAAATAAAACTATGTATTCAGCGCTCGAGTGGTTTAAAAAGTGTATATTATTTCCATTTCGATTCTTAAGTTCGCATTACAATTACCTCCCCTGAGTTTTACATAATGTGATATGAAATACTTGTGCATCCGATGTTGCATTAATTGTGTGGGTTTCCGACGGAATTTATATTTGGTCTCTCATAAACGTAATCTTCGAATGTCGATAATAAATTATTCAAATATTTCAAACACTGGCTCGTTGAGATCTAGTTTCTGAAGAGAACATTGTTACTTAACCCTGCGCAGAGTGACATGTGCACCTTTGGTGCACAGGTGACCAATTTTTTTGAATACCCAAAAAAAAATGAGGGACACTGACGGTCACCTTCCATCTAATCCTCATTCAACCCTTGCCAAATAAGCTGGTTTAATGAACTTTGCAGCCAGGGCTTCACCCAGGCCGTGTCAACAAACTTTCGACCAGTCCTCCTGCCAAGTCTCATTGAAACATATACACACACCTGTAACTTGACACAGCCATCTCCCTTCATAGCCGCAAACCACACCCTCCAGTCAGTTATCTTTTAAGTGCACTGTCTGGCAACTGCCTGGACACTGTCTGGCACGTGGCTTTTTGTTGTTTTGACATGATAAGGGTCATGCGTAGTGCGGGGAAGAACCTGTGGCCCAAAAGGCCACCGTTGGCGAGCTCTGATAAACATTTTTTTTTTTTTGTAAACGCTGCGCAGGGTTAAAGCTTTAGATTCTAACCTTGACTACTTCTAACCTTGCCTACTTCATTGCAAGCTTAAGACTGTGACTCTGAGCAGGAAATTGAACATAATAGCAACGAATGTATTTTGATTTGGTGGGGACATGCGGACATTGCACGCAAAGCTATTCTCTCATTTTCTTGCAATGGGAAATACGCCGTGAAGTCCTGCGGCGACCACACAAACCCGTCGTTTCCTTTGAAGGATACTAGAGTTGCCTCGTCGGTGTTCGTTAAGGTGAAATTGTGCAGCAGGTGTGTGAACAAGACAAACAGCTCTTGCCTCTCAAGATGCTCTCCAAGGCAGATGCAGCCACTTAAATTTTGATTCAAAAACAAGAAATTGGTATGGGAATTTTAAAAGTAAACTTGTTGTATACATTTATCTCGCACGGTATAACATTAGTATCACATTCATCGGATACGAACTTCTCAGATGTATTCTGTCAGTGAGTTCCTTTTCATTGCTCTCCTTTTATCGGACATCTGAGCACCGACCCAATTTATATTACTGACATCTCACCAGCCTGTTCGAGTGCTCAAAGTCGCTCTATTCATTCTTTTTACGTCTCAGTTTTGTAAAAGCTAAAGTAGCAAATTTTAATCTAGCTAGGTCTGACTCGAGACTATCATTAATGTGCACTTACCTTCTCCAAATGCATGAGCGCCTCGCGGGATTGAAACTTTCCTTCGGTGCCAAGAAATCGCTCTCGACGAAAATTCTTCGACACCTCCCATACCGACGGATCAAGTGGGCTTGGGATAACGGGGCAGGCTTGCGGCAGGACTGGGCAGTAAAGACAGTATAAGCTCCACCACATGAAGAAATTCGTTATAGACAAACATAAGACCCGTTGAAAAAGTCCAGCTTCAAATTGATTCGTGGAAACTACATCCAACGCCGGTATATGCGAAAAGATGTCGAAAGTTATTGGAAGGCGTCTGTCCCAACGAGAGTTTTCCCGGCGACAACCTTTCAGCAACCGCTTACAAAAAAAAGGTTTAGGTACGTACGGAAGCCCAACAATTGCAAATTGGAGGAAACGTCAGGCACATCAGATGCAATCGAAGCGGGCGCATAGACGGATACGGACACAAATGCTATGAACTGTACCAATCAAGACGGACATCGATTGCAATCAAAATTATAGCGATCCCTGAGCCACAGGAAAAGACTCCAAGCTCGTTTTTATAATGAATGCATACGGGGGCAAGCGAGTCTTGCACCTTGAACTTCTAATTGTAGCTGTGTAACAACTGATAATGTGGTAACCAACGGATAATGCATTACCAACC